AAAGAAAACTTAAACAGAACTAAAACCTTGAGATGAACATGGTATGAAGATGAAGCTGATTTGCCTTTTGTGTTTATTGCTTTAATCTGTCTTAAAGGAAATAAAAGCAGTTTGTGAAGTAAATGGGAGATTAACTTTGACATATTTAGTGTAGTAGTTAGATTATAAAAGCAACTTTTTGTTTATCTCTTCAGTTTGGTTGTCACAGCAGCAAGCACTGGTGCAGCTGGCATCCCACAGGCTGATTGTACTGAGCTCAACAGGTCTGCCCACTGAAGACATATCACTGCTACTCATGGTTGACTGGATCTTGTACGTACAACAGTCTGTGTAATTTAAAGATATTTGACCATAGAATGTGAAATGAAAACAATTAAATAGTAACTTTCCCAAGTAAGAAAAAAATCTAAATTACAAACATTTTGCTACAAGACATACAAAAAAAAACATTTAATGTGAGAAAATGTTAAAAGATGCATGTTTTTTTTTTTTTACCTCGGATTGCTCTGTTTTCTGTGTTGACAGGGATCGCATAAGAACCGCCACCAATGTACTTGGTGACTGTATTGGTGTGGCTGTAGTGCAGCATTTGTCTAGACGTGAACTACGGACGCAGAGGCCTGCAGCGACAAATCAGTCTTTAGAAGAAATTTCCCCTCCCAACAGAATCGAAATTGGATAAATTAGTGTAATTAGTTACCTGCTAGAAAATAAGCTTCCCTGAGTAGGTTGAAATAATGAGATGAAGAAATCATAGATAAATATTAGGATTGACTGACAGTGAGAAAATGGCAGAGAAGCCCCAGTAGTAGAAACAGGGATCACTGCCCATTAGACTGAAAAACTCTTTTGTTGTTTTTTTTCCCCAAGAGTTTCTCAGACCAAAAGGAATGAATACTGTTCACCAACAAGATCTTAGAAATTTGAAATATTTAACAACTATCTTTAACATACACTTAGTCTATTGTCTGTGATAAAAATTACTATGTTCACACAACACACGTGTATCATTTATATATTATATTAATCTGTGTATCATTCGTTCTTTCGTTTTTCAAATTGAAACCAAAAATTAAAAACTGAAAAATGCAAATTTTTTCAATATTTGTTTTTGAAACCAAATGAAAAAAACAGAAAAGGGGCTGGGGCTGCTATCCAATCCGTTTATCATTTGGATTTATATTAATTGAACATCCTCAAACATTAGCAGCAGGTCATCTGCATAAAACCAATGGTGCAGCAGATTTATTGTAAGAGAGAAAATTGTCATAATAAATGTTAAATATTACAAGTATTTAATTTTTTGTTAGAATATTTTATCTGTATGGTATAGCTCAAAAGTTTTGTTTTTTACTCTATTTGAATCCCAGCATGTGATTCCTTATGTACGTAGGCGCATTATCATAGCTCCTTAGTAATGACAAATATTTCAAAAAAAAAAAAAAAGAAAAATTAAATAAAATAAGACAACCTGAAGCTTCATTGCACTAACTGCTCTACATGAAACTACATTTGATCCAGTAAAATTACCCTTCTTCTAATGTTGCATCAACTGTTCAGACATTAGTGACTTTGATACCCACACAGCTATTTCTCTGAAAAATTAAAGTGGTTTGCCACTGGGCTATTGTTTCTGTACACCAGTTTTTTTGTGACTGTTTTTTTTTATTATTATTTAGCTGGTCATTAATTTGTCAGAGCTTTTCCATTTAGCCTTTTTAATTACATCAACAAAGAAGCAAACTTTGTTTATTCTCAATTTCCTTGTTGATTATTTCCCAATGGTTTTAAGATTGCTTTGTAGAGCAACATAAATACTTTTTCTTTAGTGCTATAAATCAGTAAATTTCGAGTGTTGACTCAGCCTGTAATGGTACTAAAGTGAGTTTGAATCAAATAAAAAACTTATTTCAAACTCTTTCTTATTGTTTTCACTACCTAAGCCAGACTATAAAAATCATGACACAACATATAACACTGTTAATATTCTACCCATGTAAAAACCACCATCCACTGTTTTCATTTTTCATTTATATATATATATATATATATATATATATATATATATATATATATATATATATATATATATATATATATATATATATATATATATATATATATATATATATATATATATATATATATATATATATATATTATTTTGTTTTATTTTTTTTGTGCTAATGTCATTGATGTGTTAAAAGCAATAGTTGAAAGAACTTACATGTAATAAGTTTGTGCTCTTTACACTGTGCCTGCTGCTCTACTGTAAAGTTTATTCAGCTACGATGTGAAAAGTTTAATAAGAAGTGACCATACTGTCTTTTGTTTAGACAATATTCGCACCTCTATTGAACAGCTTCTTACTACCGTTAAAAAGCGCTTTAAAAATGTCATGATTTGATCGTGTACTTGGCGCCCTCTCGTGGCAAATTTTCAATATGGCAGCAACAATACAAAAAACTAATCTCGGTATTTAGTGAAAGATTAGGTGCATTCTTTACTCCATACTGGTTTGAATCAAACTGTTTTTTCTTAAAAAAAAAAAAATATTAATTTTCCTTTTATTTACATTTTAACACAGATATATATTTTATAACTTTAATTTGTGTATGAAAATATACCAAAAATGTGTTTTTTTGTTCATTTTGATTAAAGATTAATGTTATCATTTCAGCCATCATCAATAATATTAAAGAGGGAAATCTGGTAACCTTTAAGGAAATATATTATTATGATTTAAAACAAAAATAGAAAATCTCTGGTATAATATGAAAATGAGACATGGGTGGAAAAGAGATAGGGAAGCGGGTCTGCTCCTGTGTATCTTCATTTTGAACGCAAAACACAAGAATTTTACACAAAGAGTATCCTCAAGAGAACATAGTGAACAACTAACATATAACAACAATTATAGTTCAATTTTGTAGTTCTGTTAAGTTGCTTTTTTTTTACTCAAAATATAGTTTAAATTCAATGAGATTTTTATTAGCATTGTGTAAAGCAAGAAGTTTTTAAAATAAGCTTGTTCAGACTTTAGGGGACGTCAGAAGTCTAGATCTGAATCTGACACGTTTTGAATTGCTTTCTAGTTTTCTGAAAACAGCAGAATTAACCATTGGAACCATTAATTCCTAAGCAGTTTTAGTACTTTTGAGAGTTTTTTTGCCCTTCTGAATTTGCTTTGACGTATAAAAACTTGTATAACATGGCCTTAATAATGTTTAGATCAGTATCTTATAGGGCATTTTACATTTATTAAGTTTTATCTAAGGCCAAACCATATATTTGAGATTAAAATAAAGTGTTTCAATACTCCATCTATTTCATCAACGTACAGAAATAATTCATAGAAGTGTTGGAGGGGTTTGTGTTTGGTGTTGGGGGACTTTAAACATAGATTTGGGGAAATATACAAAGATTTCAAGAATGTTCAAATGTAAATAAAATATATTTTAGGCATGGGCATTATCTTAGATCCAACACTGTATATTGGGTATAGCTCCAGATAATGTTGTAGATAGGAATTTGACTCTCTTTGTGGAAACTATTTGATATAAAATAAAACAATTACAGACTCTTTGGGAGGAGTGTTGGTCTAGTCATTAGAGGAGTACCGAATTCGATCCCCAAAGCCTGCACCCTGGGTCCCTGAGCAAGACCCTTAACCCCTTAGTTTAAGCCACAGCTTCCCAGCATAATGGAATGGAGACACAGAGTAAAAATGTGTTCCTCAGGAGAAAATTACAGAGAGGTTACAGCTCAACTTAGACCGGTTGAAGCAAAGAAGGTTACCACTTATAAAGACAATGTCAGGAATTTAATCTCACTCTTCAAATTGTACCTCTTTTCTTTTTACTCTTAAATTGTAGTTGTACACTATCATGGTAGCTAATAGTATACATGTTGTTCATGCTCCCCCCTATGGTTACAAACTGGAACTGACACTGTAATTGCATTTCCTAATGTGTTTTCCTAAAGTGTGTGTGTGTTCTTGTTTTTAAGAAATTGTGGGGCCCATTTTGGGGAAAATGGCATGTTGTAGGGACTGGCTGCTCCTCTTGGGGGCCAATGCCTGGATCCCACATGGAAAATGTTTGTTTTTGGGTCAGGGGTCACGTTTAGGACTAAGGTGTGTATTGAGTTTGGGGTTAGGGTTCAGTATGAACCCGATATAGTTAGGGTTAGGGTAAGGGTCACGGTTAGGCTGTAGAAATTCATGGAAAGGCCCTGAAAAGTTAGTCTATGTGTGTTTTGTTATTTCATGTGCAGTAAAAAATCCAATATTCTGTCATTTTATTTATCTGGTAATTAATTTATCTGTTGATGTATTTTGTGATGGGAAAAAAAGTGACACCAAAAGGTCTGAACAGACAGTTAAGGGAGTTTACAACAGGGAATCAATAATAGACCTACTATTATTACAGTTGTTTTTTGTTTTTTCATGATAAAGAATAATTTTCATGATTTTAAAAGAAATTCCTCTATCCTTGTTTGTAGCATAATCACAAAGATGTAATCTCTCCAGTTCATGTAGTCTAAGATGTTTCCCTAATTTGATACTGCATAAGCCAAGGTTGCGGTATCTTTTTAAATTATTATTATTAATTTATTTATTTTGCATTGCTCTATCTGTTAAAACACAGCTGTAGATGGTTAGGTTTGAGCAGAAAATACATACAAACACCAGATGATATGGATGCAAAAAATATTCACACATAATTTCACAGGGGTCGGAAAAATTAAAATTCAGATTAAAATAAAACTATTTATATAAAAATGTTGTACTCCATAATGGTAAATGCAGCACAGCCTGCTGGATATCTCCCATACCGGGAGCAGGAAATAGAAAAAAAAACGGTCAGCTGATTTACCTTCATTCGACACTCGCTGCTGTTTTCGTGGTCCACCGTGATTGGTCCAGAGCCTCCATGCTGCTGTCCAATCAGAGGCAGCCATCTGTTCACCGTAGCCAGTCTTCATATTCGCCTGTCTTCCTTCTTCCACAAACTGCTCGCTGTTTAGCCCGGAGGTGCCTCTGCGTGTAGCGGGACGTGCAGCTGAAAGGAGCAAAAATGCAGCTTTTAGGTTCACTTCTTGTAGTTTTCGCAGTCTGCTGCGTTCAGGCTAAGGTTTATTTTCGGGAGGAGTTTCTAGACGGTGGTAAGTGACATTAGTTCATGTTATTTTTACATTTACGACACCGTGGTGACATCTATCATTCGGAGCCGCTGGGTTTATAACTGTTTTAGAGAAATATTCTTCTGTCATTAAATATTTATTTTGTTTAACCCAGAAAAGCTGTTAGGGGGTTGCAAATTAAGTTAAAAAACGATTTTTCTTTTTTTTTTTGCAACATGCTCTAAAACTAATTAGTTATAAAGGCCGTGAATTTAAATATTAGGGTTAAATTCACGAAAGCCTCAACCTTTATTTTTATTTTTGCTTATTTTTCTTCCCTCAGATGAATGGAGAAGTCGCTGGGTGAACTCCAAGCACAAGTCTGACTATGGAGAGTGGAAACTGACTGCTGGAAACTTCTATGGAGATGCTGAGAAAGACAAAGGTAAAATGACAGGAAAAGCCCCAAGCAGATGTTGACAGATGTTCACAGATTCCCACTGACACCTGATTAATGGCTCAGCTCATTTATAATCTTTCAGGGTTGATCATTTCATACTTCTTCTCTTGAGGTTTTAAAGTGAAAGAGAAACCTATTTTCACTTACAAATGAATAGCTATGTGGACCTTATCATAAATGCATTTAGAAATGTTTTAGTAACTTTAACTCAACAATCAATAAAGTGACTTGCAAATGACACCATGCACAGGTGAGTTGGTTAGAAATAGATTTGTTATAAATAATAAAAGGTAATCCCTGAAACTTCACATGTACGCTAAATGGGAAATAAAAAACGATTTAGGTGGGTCTATGCTGCTGATGGCTTAAGTGAATCTTATACATTGTTTAAACACTTTACCTTTTTCTTTCATTAAGGTCTCCAGACGAGCCAAGATGCTCGTTTCTATGCCGTTTCCGCCCGCTTTGACCCCTTTAGCAACGAGGGCAAGCCTTTGGTCATCCAGTTTACGGTCAAGCATGAGCAGAAGATCGACTGTGGTGGCGGTTATGTGAAGGTCTTCCCCTCCGACTTGGACCAGACCGAAATGCATGGGGATTCCACATATTACATCATGTTTGGTAAGAAAGATTAATAAATTTCAGTGATAAAATAGTGGCAACAATGAAAATGACAAAATGATGCAAACCAAAAAGGTATAGTACAGTAAATAAATGGGTATGGTAAAATACTGTCTTATATTTGAAAATTTGAAAATATATTTTAACTGTAGCTGTGAAATAAAAAAATAATGTAAAAAGGTATTGGCAGTTTAAACCAATTTACCTTAAAATTATTTTGGTAAAATTTGTATTCATTAAAAGGTAAGCATCTAATAAGGTAAATCAGCTGATATTAATCTAATCCTATAAGTTCTAGAGTAGAAGACGTATGTATGGAAACTGTCGCAGTATAAACAAAATAGGAATGGTGAAAATAAATGTGTTTAATGAACTATTATAATAAGTGGTCTTGATGTTAACCATATTTGTTTCCTCTAGGCCCTGACATCTGTGGCTACAGCACCAAGAAGGTCCACGTCATCTTTAACTACAAGGGCAAAAATCACCTCATCAAGAAAGATATTAAGTGCAAGGTAATTATTTCTGAAGCTTTCCATTCAAAAGTGCCGTCATGCGTTTCTTAAGAAGCTAAATCCACCAGTTACTTCTGTCTTACAGGACGACGAGCTGACCCACCTGTACACCCTGATCCTGAACCCAGATCAGACCTATGAGGTGAAGATTGACAATGAGAAGGTGGAGTCTGGCAGTTTGGAGGAAGACTGGGACTTCCTCCCTCCTAAGAAAATCAAGGATCCCGAGGCCAAGAAACCAGAGGACTGGGACGACCGCCCCAAGATCGATGACGCTGATGACACAAAACCAGAGGTAAACCAGCCTCATGCCAGAACTTCCCTGCTTTTTTTCCCCCTCCATATTTAGGTGATGCGTATTTAATGCTTTTAGTTAAAAAAGTTTTTTTTTTTTTTTTTTTTTTTTTTTTTTTTTTTTTTTTTAGGATTGGGACAAACCTGAAAATATTCCTGACCCTGATGCCAAGAAGCCTGAAGACTGGGATGAAGACATGGATGGAGAATGGGAGCCACCTATGATCCCCAACCCAGAGTACAAAGTAGGTGACATTTACACACAGATGATCAAATAAAGATGCACCACTCAATAGGCCAAAGGTGAAACTAGGTCCATGTTCCCTTGTTTGGATATTTGCAATCATTAGATCGAAATCTAAGCTGTTAGATGTTTTTTTTTTTGAAGGACTTCAACATTGTGGCGGTAAATGAACAATAAGTTCTGAATTAATCTTCTGATTCCTTTATTTTCCATAGGGGTCAAACTAATATTGTTAACAAGCAAGTCAGAGCTCAAGGACCCAAGAGTCTGTGTTAGCTGAGAATTGACCCATCAGAGGCCTCTGTTATTGTACTTGTGTCCTAAACAAGCTCCCAACTGCATTACAGGGAGAGTGGAAACCCAAACAGATCGACAACCCCAACTACAAGGGAGCCTGGGTGCATCCTGAGATCGACAATCCTGAATATAGTCCCGATTCCACCATCTACAAGTTCGACAACATCGGTGTTATCGGCCTTGATCTCTGGCAGGTGAGAAGATGGTCATAAACCATTGTTATTGCATAAACTAAGTGCAAAGATCAGTGTAACGTTTGGGACTGCCTCTAAGGTGAAATCTGGTACGATCTTCGACAACTTTTTGATCAGCGACGATGTGAAGGAAGCGGAAGAGGTCGGAAAGGAGACATGGGGCGTGACAAAGGTATGTTGGCATTTTTTATTTTTTCATCCCTCATTAGTAATTTGAACATGGGATAAAGGGCAGTCTCTCCTCTGGTGTTTCCTCACAAATGGAGAAATGGACTGAAAATGTTAAAGTAAACTTTCATAAATGGAAAAAAAAAATTTGCAATACAATTTTTTTTTTTTTATGAAATGGAATTTTTTTTATTATAAATCATTGCAAAATAAAAGTAAAAAAAGTTCACAAATTAACATAGAGGGGTGAGAAAAGTTTATTAAATAAAGTTTTCATATGAAATTATTTACTACTAAAAGTTGATACACTTTAAGGCGAAAAGACTAATCTACAAAGTCAACTGACACTACAAAACTGTAGGAAATCATGTTTGCATTAGTGCAAATTCATACAAGATACAATATGGAAACTGTAGTTTGAACAATATAAATAATTCAAATAAGAAAATGGGAGTTTAAAAAAAAAGCTTGGAGAGAGAACGATACTCATAGTTTGAAAAATAGCATTTTCAGTTTTGACTGTTAAATGTGATTCTTTTTTTCAAACCTCTTTCACAGGAACCAGAGAAGAAGATGAAGCAAGAGCAGGAAGAGGTAAAACGAAAAGAGGAAGAGGAAAAGAACAAAGAGCAAGCCACTGAGGGGGATGATGATGATGATGAAGATGATGATATAGAAGAAGATGAGGATGAAGATGGAAAGGATGAGACAGAGGAGACAGTGACAGAAGATGATGATGATGAGGATGATGATTCAAAGCCCAAAGATGAGCTCTGAGAAGGTGTATCTTGAAGTTTCTCTATATTTTTAAACCCCCTTCATACAAACTGTCCTGTCATTCCCAGGGGTTTTGTGGCTGCTGTGCATCCTTTTCCCTGAGGTCAGGACATGACCCAACTTGAGGGTTTGAAGTAGAAAACATGGGGGAGGGTGTATGTGTGTTTGAGTGGGTGTTAAGGGAATCGGTGTCTTTTTATTTTTTTTGGTTTCCCTTGAACTGCTGAATTGATTCTGTGGTTTCTGACCAACAAACTCCATTCCTCATTTTGTTAACGACGCATTCAGTCGGCACTGACATCTGCTGTTTTTCTTGATTTTCTTGATCGCCGCATCTCAATTTCCGACGGGATTATCAGGTGGTTTACTTTAGGAGTTGTTCACTAGAAACTGCCAGTGAGATAAAAAAAAAATAAATCAGATTAAAACTTAATTATAAGGGGGGGAAATAGTAATTTATTTGTGTTTGTTTCTTTGGCACTGACTGTAACCTTTACGTTTTTGTTCCTGTAAGCTGAATGAAATGATAAAACAAGTCCTATGAGTAAATTTTTTATTTCAATGTTTTGTTTTTGTATGTTTCCATCCATGGAAGTTTGATAGGATTTGCAGTTAAATCCAGAAAGTCTGGACAAACAGATGCCTACGTGTCAGTGCTGCTCACACAACGGGTAACGCACATATTAAAAAAAAAGTAAACCGGACAGAATGTGATTGATGCCAAAGGTTTTATTAAAAGAATACTTTTCCTGTCTCCTCACCTTTATTTATGTTTAAGTCTTTTCTTTATCTAATTTTCTTTGTTGTACCATAGGGTAATGAAAACCAGTTAAATCTTGTTTAAAATCTTACATCAAACTTGTTTTACTTTTGTGAAAATAGTGCATAGCCTACTTTGGAAGTGAGTTTTTTTTTATTTTTTTTTATTTTTTTACAGATTTTATACACTAAACACATTGCATATCCTTTTTTTTTTTTTTTTTTTTTTTGCTCTGATCTTGTGTCAGGCCAGGTTTTCTTGAATTTTGCTCCTTCCATCTACCAATTACCCCTGGCCAGTTTTGATGCCTCTAAAAATTGAAATTCTCCACAGCCTGATGCTGCCTCCATGTCTCAATGTGGATGCTTTGTTAATTTCTTATATTTTTTTTCATTTTGCTGCTTGGCCACTAATGTTCGCATCATTGAAAATACTTTAATGATCACAAAATCAGTGTAACATGATTTAATGCTAACAGGTATGTAGGTGCTTTTGTCCTCATTTTACATTTTCTACCAAGTTCCTACGCAGTCCTGAAAAGTATAGGATTTTTTTTTTTTTAAGAAGTGTGAAAATTTGCACAACTATGGGAAAATGAAAATAAAGAATTGGAAAAAACCTATATCTTGTTCCATTAACTAACAGTTTGAAATATAGATTTCTGAAAGGATAGGTTTCTACCATTAAATCTATATTTAAAATGTAAGGCTTATAACACATCAATTTGTCTAAATCACTGTTCAAATAACTCAATTCATATTTTTTGTTTTGATTTATTGGTTTCTTTTCCCCCTAGATTTAAATTCCAGAGTTTAAAACAAGGTTTCCATTCTTTTTTTGATACAAGGCTGCATTGGTCTTTTTTAGTTTTGGAGGATGTAGATAATTTTAACCAAACACTGAGAAGGATATGTATTTGTAACTCAGTTATTTAGTCCTTACTATAACCAGATGTCTCTGATTATTTTAACTGTTAACTTAATTGAGTCCCAATGGACTGTTGTTCAGGGTAGAGTACAGGTGTCATTAGCCTGCAGTTCCAGAGACTAATATAGTTGTTTTTCCAATCCACAGTGGTTTAAAACTATATGAACATAGCATGCTTGAAAAACATAACACACAGTGGGAGGGTATAGTTTTAGTAATGCTTCAATCTGTATTGATGCCACATTCTGAACAGCTGTGTCCCTGTGTGGTGTGGAGGCTGCAGCTCCTCAGACTGGAAAAAAGTGAGAAGAGTGGTGAGAACAGCAGAGAAGATCATCAGGGCTCCTCTACTCTCCACAAAAGACGTTTCATCCCAGCACTGCGTGTCCCAAGGCTGTAACATCATCAATGACCCCTCACACCCCCACCATGGACTGTTCTCCCTGCTGCTGGGAAGTGGCTTTGCAGCATTAAATGCAGGTTCTGCATCAGCTTTTTCCCCACTGACAGCTGATTTTTGAAAAAACAAACAAAAAACTCTAAAATCTGTCAAAAACTCTGGATCACACTGATAACACCAAACCAAAAATACTGCATACTGGCACTAATATGTCTTGAAATGCTCTAATCTTTCATATCAATGCATATTTGCACCATGTTTTTTTTTTCCCCCACACTGTTTACATTTGATCCCAGCTGCACTTTATGGAATGAAAATTTTCATTTCACTGCTAAACTGCAGCCTTCTATTGTCTGAAAGCTGTACAAGAAAAAAAAAATGTTTTGCATACACTCTGTGTATAAACATTGACAACAAAAGTCTAAACATTTGCATTGGATTTCCATGAGTAAATGCCGGAAATGCTACATTATGATTTTGAATACACTTAATGGGCCTTGTTCCACTAAAACTTTTATTTTTCAATATTAAAAAGACAATTCTATACAGGTAAAGTTATTTTATTTCATTCTTCTTCTACGCTTTTCGACAGTTTTATTTAATGAATCCAGTGCAAACACACTGATTATTAGTTAAACCAGCATTTAATTCTTGAGCAATCTGACCTACATCAGCTTGTCTCTAGGTTAAAAACAAAGGGACCAGGTTTTATTTCCCCAAGTGGATCAGATGCTGTCTCCCCACCACATCTGTTCCCTATCAGTACAGTGTAGGCTGCAGTTTTGGACACATACTCGCCCAGTGTTGCAGAGGCGTAGCCAGAACATTTTTTATAAGGGTGGCCAGGCAATAACCAATGTACACTGAGGGGTGGGCAAAAGTGGATAGGCGCCAGAACCTCAGGGTAAATCTACACTGTTCCAACAGGAAAATTTATTAGCAAAACATCCATATTTTCTAAATAAAGAAAAACTCCTTTCCTACAGCCTTTGCTAACAAATAGTCGAGTATATTTAAACATCCGTGCTTCCTAGATAAAAGTTATAGTGGATACAATTCTTTCAGGTTTGAATTCTGGGGCGAACATCTTTTCCATTGTCATTACTTACCTACTTTAATCAATAATCATTCTGCCAAAAATGTATATTTACAAGTACTAATATCTACATAAATTTATTATTTAATATGTTTTTATTAAAATAGTTATCTATGATTTCACTGAATACTCCTATATGACTTGCAGAGAACATCATATTCTCTTTACCCCATATAACTTAAAATGTAGTTCTAACTGTTGCCACCATCTGTATTAGAGGGAAATAGTGGGGTGACAAAGGGTGGCCATGGCCACCCCTGGCCCCCCATCTAGCTCCGCCCCTGTAAATTATATACATTGAATCAGGTGCCAGTATGAAGTTCCTCTAACATTGAATTCCCTTTTTTCAAGACTCATTGGTATTTAGAGTTTATGTGGAGTAAAACCTAGTAATTTCTGGGAAGAAAGCTCACCCGTTTAACTGTAGTGCCTCCTACCCGTCAGCTCACTGAAACACTCAGGAGCATAACGTCACAATCCCGGAAATACGCCCTTCTCTTCTTCTTCTTCTTATGGGATTTTATGGCGGTTGGCAGACTTGTGAATTGTGCATTACCGCCACCAACTGATATGGAGTAAAGCAAGATAACAGGAAACGATTCACCCCCCCCCCAAAAAAAAAAAAAAAAAAAAAAAAAAAAAAAAAAAAAAAAAAAACCTGTGTAACTTAAACCAACATAATACTAAATCACATTTGCCCATATAATTTTAATTTACTCTAGGTCATCTTAACTCTGCCAGTTTCTGATGGTCCCATCGGTCCTCCCATCATACTTCCAACCATCTCCCAGTTCAAATCTTTAATGTCCAGATATTTTTCTGCAGCCTTCACTATTATTTTGATTTTTTCCGTTTTTTTTGTTGTCTGTGCAGTACAATTAATTACTTCTACCATGAAAAGAACAAAATTTGTCTTTTTAACAATAAGTGAGTCTTCATTAATTTTTGGAGATTTCTCTAGAGGTTTGGAATTTGCTGTGTGTTGAACTGTAGGTTTGGGTTTTTCTGACTGAGATGGGATCCTTTTTGCAGCTTCAGCGTAGGTTATTCCGAGCTCAAATTTCATTTTTTTAATTTCCTCAGACCTTTTGCTTGCTTCACAGCCGCGATAGGCAGCAGTATGTTCTCCACCACAATTACAGCATTTTATTTTAGCTTCTTTTCCACATTTTCCGTACTCATGTTCTCCTGCACACCTTCCACACCTCTGTTTCCCTTTACAAACTGCTGCAACGTGACCGAATTTTTGGCATTTGAAACATCTCAATGGTGGAGGATTGTAGATTTTGACATTATAGCTTATGTAACCGATGAATACTTTGCTTGGTAATTGCTCTTCTTCGAATTTAATTAGCACAGATAAACTGTCAGATCTTTCTCCGTTTCTTGTTGTTTTTAACCGTTTTACTTCTTTTACTTTTGCACCGCTTATGTTTTCCAGAATCTCTTTTTCAGAAATTTTTAGAGGAACTCCTCCAATGACTCCCCTGCTGATCTTTTTGTTCTCCATTAGGCTGCACTGAACTCTTATCCCGTCAATTTTGTTGATACGTATTGCTTTGCCTTGCTGGGCGCTGTCTCTGCAGTTAATTAGCAGGTCTCCACTGTACAGAATTCTGGCACCTTTGACTTCTCCGACAAGTTTATTGATGGTTTTTGTTAAGTGAACCGGATTCCAATTTGTAAAAGAGTCTGCCTGATTAACGACTTTGAATATGACTTTGAATTCATTTTGTTGTGCTGTGGAATGTATGGAATGATCATCACTGGATTGTTCTGAACTAGATTCCCCTTGAACTGATCTCTGTTTTTTCCGCTTTTTCTCATTTTTTGATGTTGCTATTTTCCAACCTTCATTGTCACTATTTCCCTCTTCCATCCCACAAGAATCGCTTCCTGTTTCCTCACTACTCACGGCCCAAGACATTTCTCCATAAGCAGCTTCAAAACACGCGCCATGCACCAAACGACCATCCACCGAGCCTCAAACACTTCTTGTGTCCATTCACGAGGGAACGCCCTTCTCCGGTGTTCTCTTGTCCCTTATGGGCGTGTGCGCGCGCGCGGCGCGTTCACAATACACACCAGGAAATATGGCGGCGCTCATGACTCTCAGTCAGGTAACAACGTCAAACAAGATAAAGAAAGTCTTTAATTTTTAATGTCTGTGATTATCAACTGACGGTGACGTTTTATTGAGTTTTCGTTTTACGTCAAGGCTCCCAAAAAACGTATTTAGTATGTCTGTTTAACCGAATTAGCGAGTTTTCGTTTATTACTGAGTAAACATAGTTAGCTAGGTAGGTCTATAAGTAGTTAAGATGGGTAAATTTAATGTCTTGTTGAAATTTAAGTAACTAAACAGAAAGTAAAACAGTTTTTCAAAAGCAATTTGTTTTAAACACTGTATTTTACCGGCTTTTTAATAAAACACATATATATTAAAAAAAAAAATAAGCATAAAAACTTGAATGCCACTCTTTTTCGCACTGTTTTAATGTGTCATCTGTTTGTTTTTGTGTAGTTATCAAATGGAAATGCCGCTTATGAACATTATTACAGACAGGTAAGATTTATTTCCTATCCAGCTTCATTGATGGTTACTTTGTTAAATCCAGATTTAAAGTTTAGCTATAGGGAAACGTTTAACATTGTCGTTTGTTTTGATTTTTCTGCAGCTTGATCCAGCAAACACAGGCAAAATATCAGCAGGCGATGCAGCTCAGTTTCTTAAAAAGTCTGGATTATCAGACAGTACACTTGGAAAAGTGGGTCTTGAACTTATCCAGATCTTTACTCATAATTGTGTATATGTCATCTAACCATCTTTCTCATATTCTTCCTTTTAGATTTGGGATTTGGCAGATTCTGATAGAAAAGGATATTTGGATAAGAGGGTAAGCCTTTATTCCTCCCATAAAGTTGCTCTGTTTGTAGAATGCTGATGTGTGCATTAAATGGCAGATTTGTTCTGCTTTGTTCCTTCTTTGCAGGGTTTCTTCATCGCGCTGAGACTTGTGGCGTCAGCACAGGGTGGAAATGATATAAGCCTTAACAGCCTCAACCAAAGTGTAACTGCACCAAAATTTGTGAGTGTTGAAAATTACTCATGTACTGTAGCCCTTAATTTAATAGGGAAGAGAATACTACTGAGATTTGTGAAAAAACTAACAAATTAGAGGACTACAATGTCATGGTACTAGGGCTGAATCTAATAATTATTTTAGTTTTCAATTAAGCTCCTAATAAATGTCTTTAGTTTGTTTTTACTTTATCTAAAAATAGCAATTTCTAGTAAATGAACATGCCTTTATATTCAAGCGTTTTGATCTAAGGAAAAAAAAAAAGCCCAAACATTAATTTTGCCACATTTCATGCATCACACACGAAGATCTAAAACTGTAATTTTTGTGGGACATAATCATGAAATAGAACTAAATTTATTTTTATTTTATTTTTTTATGTTTTTAACAAATAAAAAACTGAAGAGTGGGGCATCAACAATTAACCGGCCCCGTTACTTTCAGTGCAACAAACTCTCTCCAGAACTTCAGAGAGGATCTCTGAATCATCCATTGCTGACCTAAATGACTGATGGTGATAAGTAGAATCCACCTGTGTGTAATCATGTCTCTGTATAAATGGAACTGCTCTGTGATCATCTCAGAGGTCAGATAAAAACAAGCATCAGAGAGCATTGTGAAGAACAAAGAACAAACCAGGCAGGTCGAGATACTGTTGTGGAGAAATTTAAGGCAAGATTTGGATACAAAAAGATTTTCCAAGCTCTAAACATCCCAATGAACACTGTGCAAGTGATAATATTGTAGTAGAAGGGTTCTCAGACCACTGCAAACCTGCGAAGACCCGGCCGTTTCTCTAAAATTTCCGCTCAAACAAGGGGAAGACTGATCAGAGATGCAGCCAAGAGGCCCATGATCACTCTGGATGAAGAGCAGAGATCTACAGCTGAGTTGGGAAGCTCTGTTCATAGGACATCAATCAGTCGTATACTGCACAAATCTGGCCTTTATGGAAGAAAGATATTTCTTTAAGATATCAATAAAAAGTCTTATTGAAAGTTTTCCCCAAGCCTCCAGGGAGACACAGCAAATATGTAGAAGAAGCTGCTCTGCTCAGATGAAATCAAAATCAAACTTTTTGGCAACAATTAACAAAATTGTTTTGTGTGGCATAAAAGCAACACAGCTTAATACCCCGAACCTTCCACCCCTGCTGTCAAACATGGTGATGGCAGTAACATGGTTTGGGCCTGCTTTTCTTCAGCAGGGACAAGGAAGATGGTTAAAATGGATGGGAGGATGGATGGAGCCAAATACAGGAACATTCTGAAAGAAAACCTGATAGAGTCTGCAAAAGACCAGAGCCTAGGACGGAGATTTGTCTTCCAACAAGACAATGATCCAAAACATTAAGGAAAATCTACAATAGAATGTTTCACAAATAAAAAATTCCAGGTATTAGAATAGCCTAGTTAAAGTCCAGACCTGAACCTAATCGAAAATCTGTGGAAAGAACTGAAAACTGCTGTTCAAACTCTCTCCATCCAACCTCATAGAGCTGCAGCTGTTTTGCAGGAAGAATGGGCAAAGATTTCAGTCTGTCAATTCCAAACTGATAGAGACAAACCCCAAGAGAATACAGCTGTAATTGAAGCAAAAGGTAGTGCTAGAATTAACTCAAGGGGCTGAATAATTTTGTACAGCCAATTTTTTTAGTTTTATATTTGATAAAAAAAAGTTTAAAATATCCAGTAAATTTTGTTCCACTAAATATTTCTGCGCCACTTAAAATGTATTATCTTTATGTTTGAAGCCTGAAATTTGGCAAAAGATCGAAACATTTAAGTGGCCCAAATACGTTCACAAGGCACCGTATGATCATCTCTATTTGGCAAAACAGATTACATTATAATTAGGGCAGAAATGATCATTTTACTGGCATGATTCATCTCTTGTAAACTTTTCATTTAATGCATTAATAATATGATAGCAAAATTAATTAGTAGAGATTGTCGTAACAGATTCTGAACCAGATAAAGCTAACAGTATATTTACAGAGATTTTTCATTTTAAATTTTAAACCTTTTTTGTTCAATATTTGTGTCATTACTTCTCTGCTTCAGTTATTATTTCAGCATATGATATATCTTAGAGGTTACAGTATTTACTTTGTTTAAAGATTTATTTCAAATATGAAAGAATTTTATAATCATTTTAACAATCAATTTTTCATGATTATTATCATTAATTGTTTCAGTCCTACATGATTTTTCTCTTTTGGGATTTCTTAGTACTTAAAAAAAAAAAGAAAAAAAAAGAAAAGTCAATAAGATGGTTTAATTACCTTAAATAAAACTAGGGATCCAGATCTTATATTGATATTGTAAATATCAGTCTTATATCAGCCAAAAAAAGGTTATCAGAATACGTCGGCCTACCACTACAATCAGCCATATAATGTGCTAATAGAAACACCACTTTTGTTTCAATTTAAATTAACATATTGTCAATAAAACTGTGCGAGTAATTTCATTTGATCAGGCCTTTTCTACCATTCCACGGTGCAAGAGGAGCAATAATAGTATATATTTTTAATGCTGATTTAATATCGGTTTCTATCAATACCTGAAGCTGCAATGTTGTCCTTTTATTGGAAATCAAAACTTGTATCAGATTATACTTAGTTAAGACACAATATGTTTCAACATGTTGAACTACTAATTTTGACAAGTTAATGTTATTCATAACTTTGTATTATCTCAGTTTATATGTTTTTGTTTACTAAAGTACCTGGTTATTAACTCAAGTAATCGGCTAGAGAAGTTGTCCATGCTTGGCACCTTTTACAGACGTTCTGCTTGAAGTTTGTCGTTTTAGTTTACAACAAAGCTACTTCAACGAGGTAATGGTACATTACATTCAGTCATTCACCCATTCATGCACCATTCACACACTGATGGGTGGCGATGGTAATGACTCAGTTACTTTTTGCAGTGTAATTAGTTTTTTCTAAGAGGAAAAAGTGAAGTGTTCAGAGCAAAGCAGCAAGAGGTAGCAGTTCTTTGGTTTACTCCATACAACTGGGCAAATTTGACTTTTACTGGTGTCCATTAAAAAGACTGAAAACTTTGACTAGCTTTTTAAAATCTAGCTGTTTATAAGCTATGCCTTTCTAATCTCTTTTTGCATATTCACACCAGTAACCCCCATACATCAGTCCTATGAGTTTCCCCTTATATGCAAATGGTGGTTAGTATGTTCTGTTATCTTTTACAGAGAGACACTGACAGTCCGTTGCTAACTGGATCATTAGCAGCGTCTGATTGGGCGATTAGGGTGAGCCAAAACAGACTGAAGATTTCAGACTGAATGAAAAATGTTGTCTTCCTAATGTTTTTTTTCTCCTCTAGCCTGATGAAAAGGGGAAGTTTGAGGCGATATTTGAAAGTCTATCCCCTATAAAAGGTCTCCTATCTGGTGACAAGGTCCGACCTGTTTTAATAAACTCCAAGCTACCTCTGGATGTTCTGGGAAAGGTAATATACACCCTGTATACCGCTGTATAGTTGAACATTTCAAAGCAATCAGATGTTGAGTATTTTTCGTTGTTTAACTATAGATTTGGGAGCTTAGTGATGTTGACAAGGATGGACATTTGGACAAAGAAGAATTCACTGTGGTATGTGTTTATTTTTATTTATTTATTTTTTAGTTTTTTTACTGTTGCCTTAAGATAAATGTAACATGACTAAGTTTTTAACAATAGTTGTTTTTATCATGTTCCAGGCTATGCATCTTGTATATCGTACTATGGAGAAGGAGCCTGTTCCAAGCAGCCTGCCGTCCTCTCTTATCCCACCTTCCAAAAGGAAAAAATCAGCACCAGCCCTTCCGGGCGCCGTGGCCGTGCTGCCTGGCCTTGGATCCAGCCCCATTGCTCTCAAAGAGACTCTGCGGAGCTCTCCTTCTCTTAGAAGCTCCACTCCTCCTATCGGGAGCACTGTTCCTGCTATGGGTGGCTTTACTCCCCTCAGTCCCAGTGCTGTCAAACTGTCTCCACAACACTCCTTTAAATCCAGCTCAGCATCCACTCCAACGGTACGTTAACTTACGATGCTTTTTTTTCTGGGTTCATTAAGGCTGAAACATCGGATTATAATCGATTATTGAAATAAACGTCAACTAATTTAGTAATCGATTAATCGTTAACTGGAGTATAGAGACTCTAACGCATGCCTTTAGCTGATACAGAAACCCACTAAGAGCAGTAATGATACCAAGCTGATACATAAACATTTTGCATTTAAGAATAAAAAGGTCCGTTAAAATGCTCTATCCAGAGTTCCTCAAGTAGAAACTTTTGAGTTTTCGTTAAAAGAACCTTTTGCTATCCGATTATCCATCAATTTATCAAAAAAATAATCAATTAGCAAAATAACCATTAGTTGCAGGATTAGTGTGCATCAATATCAATTCATTAGAGACTTTGACTGATGATTGTTTTCTTTTAAATTTCACAAAAATTAGAATTTAAACGGAAAATTTAAAAAGTGTATAATTATGAGGGTTAAAAATAATTTAAGTCTTCTTTATTTTCAGTTTCCTTTTATAAAGGATTTTACAGGAATTATGCATTATGTTGCCAATGTTTATAGAGACTTAATGAAGTTCACAGACATAAGAAGATTGCTTCTCAGTTTTTATTAGTTTCTTTTATTATTATTGGATATGAATTGCAAAATTTTATTTCATTTATTACAGCTTTTGATTTGGGGAAAGTTTGGGTTGAAAAAAAAGCTCTGCTTGTGTATTGGTGTGTTTTGCTTCTGCAAATAACAATTTAACTTGTTTAAAGTAGTGTTACAGGTTCTGATCTGGGAGTTTTGGAGAGACTAGTAATTCATGTATTAACTTTACTGTTGCCAACAGTAAGACTTGTTTTACCACATTGTTGAGGCTATTGTATGAACAACTGTTTGTTTCTCCTGCAGGGATTTTTTTCACCCATGAATTTTTGAGAAACTGTTTCCTGGAAAAGGAAACAAATGGTATCACCAAAATACTTGGGACAAAAGAAAGTACATGTCGTTCGTCCAGGAATCTTTGTAGAACATACATTTAACTTAAGATGGTTTGTCTTAAAGATCACTCTGATCATCTTCAGATTTATAAAAAAATTGTACGATATCCCTTAAGTAAATCTGACCTGAACCATAAATGGGTTTAATTCTTTTAGATTATATCCATTTGATGTTGAATTTAAAGTTTTAAAACTTAAGAACAGAAAAAAGTAATAAAATACTTAAAAAATAGCAAACCATCAAGCTGATTGGTCGGTTCTTAAATGGCACTCAAACTCTGTAAACATCCAGCAGTGAAATTTACACATTTTCTTTTTATTCAGAGCAGATTTGGATGAAAGCAGTCGGTGTTTGTTGAATTTTTAGTAGCTGACCCTGTTAACGTTCTAATAAAAGGCGATTTGAGCAGCAAAGAAGCGTCTGCTGCTTCATCTTTAATGTTTGTCCACAGTAGTTATGTATGTTATGTAAGTTATGTACAAACGCATCTGATGCTTGTGGTGCTCTTCTGTTAAACAGCTTATTGGCTTTGCTATATTTGGTGATGTAAGTGGGCAAATAGCAGTTTTAATTAGTTTTTAAGCAAGAAAGTACACTTCAAAAGATTGTCTGTGCAGTCAGTTCTTCAAGATTATGATCCTGCCTTAAAGGTCCCATATTATGCAAAATTCCCATTATGAAAATTTTGTAACAGTCATGTGTCCTGAAGCTTTTGTATGAGGTTAACAAAGAATGATAACCCTTTCACCGCCCTCACTGCCTTTCTCCACCTCTTAGTTAATGTGCGCTCAAAAGGGTCAGTTTGAAAATCTTTCCCCTGATAAAGTGAATTAAACTGTCCAGAACGGTCTGTAGCAGCCCATCAGTCAAGCTACAGCCTTCATCTAATGTATTATTTCATCCTCCCAGCCACTATCTTTACGAACGTTGACTGGTTGTCATGGTTGCGGGTTGTGGGTGCGCTGACTCTGGGAGGACAGGGTTTGGGAAAGCCAAAACGGTTCATCCAGAGGAGGGCTGAGTAAGCAGATTTTCTGGTAAAGCCTGTCTGCTTAATCTGAGAGTAATTTCCCTGCACAAATGACAAAAACATTCTCTGATGGCCGGTTTATTAATATCTTTTATTTTCAAATGTAGCATAAAATGTGAAATGTTATTTTGCTGTCATGGCCGTGCAGAGCTCCTCACAACAGCAATAAGGGACTTTATGCTGATGTTCGTGGCGGCTAGAAGAGAACATTAGTGTTTTTCAGATATGTGGAACAAACTGCAGACACCAGTATATTAAAAGTGAAAATATTTTGCTGGCAGGTTTCAACATTTTAAGGTCACTGAGGCAATAATGAGGCAAAAATACTGCTCAGGGAAGCAGTTGGTACCACTGCTGCCTTGCAGCAACAAGGTTCTGTATTCCGAGTTCCGCCCCCGATGTTTCTGTATGGAGTTTGCATGTTCTCCTAAGCATGCATGGTTTCTCTCAGGGTACTCTTCCCACATTCCAAAAACACGAATGTTAGGTTAATTGGTTTTCCTAAATTCTCCTTAGGTGTGAGTGTGTGCGTGATTGTTTGTCTCTGTGTTGCCCTTCAATGGACTGGTGACTTGTCCGGGGTGTACCCCACCTCTCGCCCATAGACAGCTGAGATTGGCACCAGCACCCCTAGCGACCCCAGTGAGTGATCAAACAGAAAAAAAGAATATTCTTGACTTTTATGGAGACCTATTAGAGTTTTACTCCGTTTATATATACAGCACAGACCAAAAGTTTGGACACACCTTCTCATTCAAAGAGTTTTCTTTATTTTCATGACTAAGAAAATTGTAGATTCACACTGAAGGTATCAACACCATGAATTAACACATGTGGAATTATATACTTAAAAAAGTGTGAAACAACTGAAAATATGTCTTATATTCTAGGTTCTTTAAAGTAGCCACCTTTTGCTTTGACTGCTACTTCGCACACTCTTGGCATTCTCTTGATGAGCTTCAAGAGATAGTCAGCCGGAAATGGTTTTCACTTCACAGGTTTAATAAGTGGGATTTCTGTTGTGTTGTACAGAAGTCAGGTGGATAAATAGCTGATAGTCCTACTGAATAGACTGTTAGAATTTGTATAATTGCAGGAAAAAAGCAGCTCAGTAAAGAAAAACGAGTGGCCATCATTACTCTAAGAAATGAAGTTCAGTCAGTCCAAAAAAATTGGCAAAACAGTGTCCCAAAGTGCAGTCGCAAAAACCATCAAACGCTACAAAGAAACTGGCTCACATGAGGACCGCCCCAGGAAAGGAAGACCAAGAGTCACCTCTGCTGCGGAGGATAAGCGCATCCGAGTCACCAGCCTCAGAAATCGCTGGTTAACAGCAGCTCAGATTAGAGACCAGGTCAATGCCACACAGAGTTCTAGCAGCAGACACATCTCTAGAACACCTGTTAAGAGGAGACCGTGTGAATCAGGCCTTCATGGTAAAACAGCTGCTAGGAAACCACTCCTAAGGACAGGCAACAAACAGAAGAGACTTGCTTGGGCTAAATAACAGAAGGAAAGGACATTAGACCAGTGGAAATCTATGCTTTGGTCTGATGAGCCTCAATTTGAGATCTTTGGTTCCAACCATCGTGTCTTTGTGCGAGAAAAGGTGAATGGATGGACTCTACATGCCTGGTTCCCACCGTGAAGCTTAGAAGAGGAGTTGTGATGGTGTGGGGGTGCTTTGCTGGTGACAATGTTGGGGATTTATTCAAAATTGAAGGCATACTGAACCAACATGACTACCACAGCATCTTGCAGTGGCATGCTATTTCATCTGGTTAGCGTTTAGTTGGACCATCATTTATTTCTTAACAGGACAATGACCCCAAACACACCTCTAGGCTTTGTAAGGGCTATTTAACCACGAAGGAGAGTGATAGGGCGCTGCGCCAGATGACCTGGCCTGAACAATCACCAGACCTGAACCACATCGAGATGGTTTGGGGTGAGCTGGACAGCAGAGTGAAGGCAAAAGGGCCGACAAGTGCTAAGCATCTCTGGGAGTTCCTTCAAGACTGGTGGAAGACCATTTCAGGTTACTACCTCTTGAAGCTCATCAAGAGAAGGCCAAGTGTGTGCGAAGCAGTAATCAGAGCAGAAGGTGGCTATTCTGAAGAACCTAGAATATATGAAATAGTCATGGAAATAAAGGAAACTCTTTGAATGACAAGATGTGTCTGTACTATATATATATATATATATATATATATATATATATATATATATATATATATATATATATATATATATATTGTTGTTAATTTCTGATGGCTTTATGCTGACAGCTCCTGATGAGCATCCCTGTGTCCAGCTCCCTGCGAGATCCCAGATCAGCTTCTCTGATTGGTTGATGTGGTGCGCCAAGCTGCAAAGATTCAAACTTCAGCTTCTGCTGCCTGTGAAAGGCGTTATGTGCCTCAGATGCTAAAATGCTAATGAGGCGCTGCCGCAGCTGCTCAGATACTTCAAGGTGCACTGCACCTGCTGCTAGAGACGCGATGCAGGTCCTTCTGATATGCTTCAACCATAGACTTTGCATATAAACCGGCTGCTTCTGCCTTGATGCCATGATATCCAAGACTTTAAAAATTCCATGTTAAAAAAAATTTAAAAATGCATACTAATGCGCTTTGAATATTTGCATATTTGGTCACATACAACTTCAATGTTTTTAATTAATAAATTTCTACAAATGTAAATTTCCAGTCCTTTCCCAGACACTGTTATAGTTTACTTAAGATTTAACCCATTGTAACATGATTGTGATTCAATCTACCGTAATCAGAACTTCAAAACAACCCCAGGGGGCACTACTGTACTCTTTCCCTCAGCAAATCAGAATCAAATAAGTAGATCATTTTTAGAACTTGGAGTGATTCTCTGGATGTGATTTAGCCTTTTGATTAGCTCTACTGGGGCCTAAATATTTACTAGTTTATGTGGTTTGCAGCTTCTAAAAGTTTAACAAATGTTTTACAAATATTGGTGTTTATGTCTTCACATCCCACTTTATCCAGCCTTTCTGTCTGTGCTAAATCCCAACAGCATAATGCTGTCACCACCTTGTAGGCAATGCTGTGTTCAGGTTGAAATACTTAAATGGTTTTTAACCACATTGCATTTTTAGAGAAAAAAAATGTATCTGCCAGAACTGTGGTATTCAAACTTCTCAGCCTCAGACAAACATAGTGGTACCATAATGGTCTCGTGACCCAAACTACTGGTCAGGATATTGTTTTAAAATTTTCTCCCAAAATCATTGTGCTTGACTCATCTACTCTGTTCGTTGGTCTCCAATAAATGTCCAATCTTCACAGAGCAACTGCAGGATATTAACAGAAATAAAAAAAAAAACACTTGGAAAATTAAATGAATCGCACTAGGTTTTATTTAGAGGTGTCAAAGTAATGGGGTCTGAAAACAAATGTATACAACACTGAGGATTTGTAATCATGATTGTCTTAGAAAAGCCAACTTTTATTATCATTGCAGTTTACATTCTTATGAAATTGATTCAATCCTTGAAGTTAAAATGTGACTGAATGTTGATGGACTGTTATACTTTTAGAAGGTGCTCTAAATCAATGCATGTTGTATTGGCGAAAGGGGCATTAAAGATTAGATGTATGCTCTGATTTTTAATGTTGTTACCAACAGGCTGCAGTGAACTGGGTGGTACCTGTAGCCGACAGAGAAAAATATAGGGAGCTTTTCAACAAAACCGACAGCGATGGGGACGGCTTCATCAGCGGGACGGATATTATTGAGATCTTCATGCAGTCCAACCTTTCTCAGACGATGCTGGCGCAGATCTGGTGAGTCCACCTCTTAGTCCAAAGCAGTGTGCCGTCAGATGCTTCTAAAGGCATGAAAAAAAAAACTACGCACTGGAAAAGGCGCTGAAACTTTAAATGTCCAGCACTAAAAATATCCTATTTTAAGAACAAAATGTTCTTGCTGCTTAATAAAAATTTTTGTAATTTTCAATGTTATATTTTTTCCAAAAACTGATATAATAAGTAGATTCACAGGTTTAAGCAAAACTAATTAGTTAAATGATTTTTTTCGCTTTCAAAACTGCTGAATTTGTCTGTTTATTTAAGCAAGAAGTTTTGCAGCCTGCTGACAGTGTGCAGAAACAACTAAAATTAGACGCAAGAAGAATCAGTCAGTTTTAAAATGCAATCGGTCTTAAATCTAAGCAGAAGACCAACTGCATATCTCCATCTCAAGAATGTTTTATTTGACCTTAAATTGTTTTGTAATGTGTAAACACAGACAAACTTGTTGATGGTCCCTGTAAAGATGGTTAATAATCCAGGGTGTCCAGGGTGAGGTGTCAGCTCCCCCATACCAGGCAATACCCAGTGCTGTGATTTCATAGTCACCATAAGGGTGCCTTGAACAGCTCTTTGTCCGACCCTCAATCCAGAGGCTGTTTGCATTGAGAGACTCTACCAGGGGTTTTAAATCCCCTGACAGCATAGCCTCTGGGATAAGGCTGAAACAATTAATCGGATTCATCGATTATTGAAATAATCGTCAACTAATTTAGTGATCGATTAATCGTTACCTGGAGTATAGAGACTGTATAATATTATTTTAGCTGTCAGAACAACACATTTAAGGAAGTAATTATATCAAAATTGTAAAATGATATATATACATTTTGCATTTAAGATAAAAAAAATGTTTTTCCATCTGTCAATATGCTCTATCCAGAACCCCTCAAGCTTTAGTTTAATTTAGTGAAAAATCTTCTTTAAGGAACATTTGGCTATCCTATTAATTTCGATTACGATTCCATTTGCAAAGTAATCATTAGCTGCTGTCCTACTCTGGGATAATCCAAGCACTGAAACCTGTCCACCACCTTAAGTTGGCAGTTTTAGGCGTTTTACTTAGTCTATGGTAAGTTTTACATGAAATCTAGAGGAAATGCTGAATTACCCTAACTTTTGGATCCAGAAAACCTGTGAAATATCTGATATATGCATCATAGTAACAGGGAGCAGACATTGTTGAGGCATAATTTTAGCCTGTTTCTTTCATAAATTACTCTTAGACCCTTTGGTTTGTGAGCTTTTTTATTATTCCCAGTCAAAATACGTTATTGAAAGTCACCTAACTGATTGCACCACCTGAATCTCTGCAAGCTGTGATTTAGAAATTTCAAACCATCTAAAAGTTTAGTATCAATCTGTGAGGCGTTTTAGTCAGAGGTGTCAAGTAACAAAGTACAAATGCTTTGTTACTTTACTTAAGTACACTTTTTAGGTATCTATACTTTACTCCATTACTTATTTTTCTTCCTACTTCTGACTTCTACTCGTTACAATTTCCAATAAGTTTCTGTACATTCTATTCTTTACATTTTTAAAACAAACTTGAGTAAAGAGATCAAGTTGATACTTCAAGTGTTTTTCGAGTGTTTTTAAACTGCAGTATCTATACTTCTATTCAAGTAACAAATGTGTGAACTTTTGACACCAATGGTTTTACTACCTATCCTCAGAAAAAAAGTTTGCAGGGTTTTTCTCTTTTAAACTCTTACTTCCTTTGCACAGGGGACTCGCCGACACAAAACAGACAGGCAAGCTGACACCAGAGCAGTTTGCTCTGGCCATGCATTTCATCCAACAGAAGGTGACTAAAGGCATAGACCCCCCCTCAACTCTGACATCAGATATGATCCCCCCATCAGAGAGGACTGCAGGATCAGCTATGGGTCTCGTGAGTCTGTACTTTATAAGCTCTCCATAAATCCGTCTCTGGCAAAGTCTGATTTGTGACATGAAATCTTTTCCTTTAAGGTCATGTAAAATATTTATGAGTAGATTGAATGGTGTTCTAAAAAACTACTAAAAACTACTCATAAATACTCTACAAAAACCACCTTCAAAATTTGACTAATTTCTCAAAGCATGTGTCTTTGCTGCATGGTGATTTTGCACAAGTATTCACACCCTTTTCACCTTTTGTCCTATAACCACAAACTTTCTATGTATTTTGTAGAGAATGAATGGACTAAAACCAGTTAGTGCATGTTTTTTGAAGGGAAAAAATGGCTAAATTTAAAATAAAAAATAGCATAAAAAGTGTTGCATGCTGTAGCCGTGTTGACTCTAATAGCCTTAAATTGAATTCAGGCTAAACGGTTACCTTCCTGGTAAACGAATGGAGTCCATGTGTCAGTTTAATTTCCGGTTCTCAGGACTGTTGATGAATGTTAACGGAGGAATAACATCGGGGAGATCAAGGAACAGCAGGAAGGTTGGGATGAAGTTGTGGAAATGTTTAAGGCAGAGTCAGGTTTTTAAATAGGGTAATTTATAGAATATTTTAAACAGAGCTGGCAAAGAGCTTTTACATGCGAAGCTGTCAAATGATAACCCTGCAGTAACTGCAGAAGAGCTCATATCTGGACAAGACATTTGATTAAAAAGGTTGATTTTTCTTACAGATTAGTTGTGCATGTCACAAATCTGGCATTTATGGAAGAGATTTGCAAGAAAACATAATATAAGAAATTGACTTTAAAGTTTGCAAGCCTCATTTGGGCAGAAGCATGTCCAAGAACCTACTCTGATTAAAAGAGGACTTAATCATTTTGCCTTTACGCAAGCTGCTCTGTAAAGCAAAAACCAAAACATCCTTGAACCTTTCGTCCCCCTGAACATAACTTCTCCACAGAGATTAATGGTGGTTGCGGGATAATGTTGTCAGCACTGAAACTTGTCAGAGTTGATGGGGACATGAATATTGCTAAATATACGGTGGCCCTTAAAGATAAACTGTTAGAGGTTGCAAAGGATTTAGACAACAAAGTGGATCTTCAACTTCCAGCTGGATGACATCCCAACCATACAACCAGATCTGCAGTAGTTTAAAGCTGTGGTCTCATACTCCAGTACTGGCCAATGTGCTGCAACACCTGATTCAAATGCATGAATTATTTTCATTTTGCTGCATGATTATGTTGATTTATCGCATGAAATCTCAAACATTGAAGTTTGTGGGTGAAACATAACTTAAACAGGAAAAAGGTTGAAGTGGGTGAATACTTTTGTTGTATTTGTGGTTTTAAGCCTGTTTTCCTCTTTCCGGATCTCCAATTCAGTATAATGGTTTAACTTTTGAGCCCTTTTCTATCCCTTCTATCAGGGCTATATGGGGATTCTTCCTTCTGTGAGACCAGACCTTGTTTCTGCAGCTAGTATGCTCAGAGTGAGTACTTCCATACACCACCACAAGGTGGTGTTGTTGCTCTATCACATGTCCTGCCCCAGCATGAGAGCAGGAACGTACAGCTGTGCTCTCTGACTAAAACCACCTGTTTTAGCAGCTGATGCTTCCTTAGATCTACACATTTCTTAGTAGAAGAAATCTAGAATATAGAAATCTAGTGGCACAGATTTCCAGAATTCTGTGATTACAGAATAAATTAATAACAAAGAATTTCTCATCAAATATCTTCAGTTCTTTGTGTTTTTTATTTTTTTTATTTGGACTAAATCTTTAAAAAAACATCAATGAATTATCGCAACACAAAGAAAATTCCACTTTCAATAAGATGTTAAAGCAATCATTAAGCTCTGTGATAACATTTTCTCTCCACGTGTAATGTAAAAATCAAGTTTGAGAAACAAAACCTTTTAAAATGTCCTCCCCCTCTCTTTTGGGTCCATGTAAATGAAAAGCTTTAGAGAAGCCCTAATTAACATCTGGAGCTCTTTCATTATTTTTCCTGTAAAGTATAAACTGAGGTTTGTAAATAGTTTGTGTTTGTCTGCCAGAGACATAGGCCACAATGAGTGTCACGCTATGACAGACAGCCTTGATAAATGATGCTATGAAAAACACTGTATTAGCACTAAAAATATCCTATTTAAAAAAATGTTCTTGCTGCTTCAATAACATTTTTTTTTATTTCTTTTTCAATGTTATATTTTTTCCAAAAACTGATATAATAAGTAGATACACAGGTTTAAGCAAAACTACTCGGTTAAATGATTTTTCTCGCTTTTAAAACAGCTGAATTTGTCTGTTTATTTAAGCAAGAAGTTTTGCAGCCTGCTGACAGTGTGCAGCAACTATTGGAGAGGATCAGGGCTGCGTTCCTTGGTGTCTTTGGGTCACCTTACTGTCTTAATAAAGCTCTTTAAATCTGCCCCAGAGTGGTGTGATATAAAATTTAAATCTTTTAAAACCTTGATGCAGATACTTTGCCTTTGCAGTGGTCTGCATGCATGTCTCGTCATTCATCTATTGTCTATCTCTCCCTCTCTCCCACCAAACTGAAAGAGATGTTTCTGTTTCCTTCCGCTGACTTTTGTTTTCTTAGAAATACCAGCAGGGAGCTCCTCTCTCCGTCTCTATTCTGCTGAGACCTCGTCTCTACTTCATCCCTCCACTTATGTTTCAGAATCATTCCTTCATGTCTTAAATTAATTTGACACTTTAGCCCTCCTGCTGTTGCCCATCTCATGTTCTCTGATCTTTTTTTCAGTCCCTCTCTTCATCCTTAAATTGTTTCTATGCCTCATTCCTCAGGATAGCACCAGCTCCATTGGGTCAGTTGAGCTTACAGGCAACAAAGAGCTGGATGACCTCAGCCAGGAAGTAGCTCAGCTGCAGAGGTGAGCAGCAGCACCCAAAGTAGCTGGAGGATCGTTGTGAATTGTCTTCCTCTAGAAAAAAAAAAACGAGGAATTGTTGGATTAACGATTTGTTGATCACTCTGCTTAAGCCATTCTGTTGAAACAAATCATAAGTTTTTACTCAAGCTGACAAGTGAGACAATGAACACTTTCTAGAACACAATGCTGCATTGAAGTAGTCGAGGTGTGTTTGATTCTGATGGTGGCATGTCAGGTGATTAGTGCCTTTTTTTTCCTCTTAAGTTTGTTGAAAGCAGAAGCTATGAAAACCTTTCACTCCTGCCTTTGTTTACCTTTGAATGTTCCGTCTTAAATAGGGAGAAATTCTTCCTGGAGCAAGAGATTCTTCAAAACGAGGAAGTCATTAGACAAAAAAACAGTGATGTTCAGGTAAGGTGAAGCTAAAGCATTCACATGTTTATGGGAAAATTTTATTTGAGCATTTCAATTAAAAAGGTTAATAGATACGTTATGCTCATTAATAGATCTTTCAAGCACTTTATCCTCTTCAATGTGATAACTATAGCTTATTATTGAGGAAAAAAGTATTTAGTTTCTCGTAATAGTTAGATTTTATATAAAATCAACATAAAAAAGGATTTATATGCAGATCATAAGTCTTATTCAAACAGTATCTCTACTTTATATACTATATGCACTCAACACTGCATTGAGGCTGTCCTATTCATTATCAGGCAAATGGCTTTATGAGGACAGTGCTTTACAGATGCCCTCTGTCTTTTCATGGACTCTCAGGACATGCAGATGGACCTGGACAGAGAGAGCAGCAGCCTTCGTAGCCTGGAGGCCCAAAAGCAGGATTCCCAGGGACGTCTGGACGAGATGGACCAGCAGCGCTCCAAACTGGAGGGAATGCTCAATGAACTGAAGCAGAAATGTCAGGAGGAGAGTCAACAGGTCAGACACTGCTTTTTAAATCATCATGCATATCCCAAAGCTATATGTTAAGATTTCTCATTTTGACTGTAGAGTAGAAAAGTTTTGGTGTAATTGGTATAGGTGGTCTTGCTGGTTTATATTAAAGGTATAGGGGAGGAAGTTTGTTTTCTGAGTGGATCATCTAAATTAGGGCTGCAACTAACGATTATTTTAAAAATCGATGAATCGGACAATTATTTTTTCGATTAATCGATGAATCGGACAAAATTTTTTTTTTATATTAACCTCTTTATTCCAAAATAAACATTTTAGACAGAACAAACAAGCACACAAGTACAGGTTGCTCATTAACTGTACTGGTGCAATATGAAAAATAAATGTTTGTGTTAAAACTACGCAAACTTACATGAGAAATGTGGCTGTACATCCACAAAATATATGCTACTTTGTTTCATAAAGCGCAAAAAAAGACATTTTTGTTTTTAAAGCCCCTAAGGGGTTCAAACAATAGGCCCCCCCATTTCAACAAATGAGTTTTTTTAGACTAGAAGAGTTCTGCCTTTTAAGACAGGTAAGTATAGCAGTTAAAGTTGCTACTTGAGAAAATACTGAACCATAGAGATAAAAATAGCCTGTGATTCAAATTATAAATTGTATTTGGAATAAAAATGAGAGAACTAGGGGTGGTAAAAAAACACATCCTCCAAAGACAGATATTTACATGGGAATGTGGCATATAATTAATTGACATATTACTGATCTTGCTGGATTTTATTCTGCTTTACTTCCATAAATTGCAGGATCTTCTTTACTTTATCTTAGCCAGAAGATTTAAACTTTAAAAGTCTTGCCCTCATAATTTGCAAGTTAATTTAATTATAAAGTAAATGTAAACGCTGCTTAAGCTAATTCAAATGAAATTAAAAGTAAAATAAGTAGCCAACCTTATCACTGTCTGTAACCTACTAACAAGGTAAGGAAAGCATCAGATGAGCTACCTGAGAAACTAACGTAACGTTTCCCCCACTTTAAAACCAAACGAACATGGTGGTTCCGTGCCATGTTAATTTCTTTTGAAAAAAGTTGCATGTTATCACTTTTTTCGCTTTACAAAGCGCAGGCTATTTTAATTATTGTGATCAATTTGCGCCGTCAATCCCGGTGCATGCGCGCTTCATTTGCAGTCTGGACGCTGAGGCTCTGACTGAGAGGGACTACTGCGGGAAAACGCGATTTGGGGTGGGGGAGGCGCCCCACGGCAGAGTAGGAACGATACATGCTTTCACGTAAGAGTCTCTAAAAGCCGCCAGTGACACCGAAAAAAGTCGCCAGATTTGTCGCTAGTCGCTTTTTTGAAAAATAGTCGCTGGAGGGGTCTGAAAAGTCACTGAGTTGGCAACACTGCACCTGCGGCGCTGACTCGCTCTGCCATATTTTTTTTCTTCCTCTTTCAGTCAAGAGGCAGTGATGACGGCGCGGCGGATGACGCAATAATCGCGCGACACAACTAATCGATGATGAAATTCGTTGCCAACGCTTTTAAAAGTCGATTTTTATCGATTCGTTGTTGCAGCCCTAATCTAAATAAGTGGTCCTGATTGTCAATCATTCTGGCGATATGTTTACGTAAGGCCTTTCTACGTGCTCGTCCCCATTTTCACTTACCGATGCTGAGTCTGACAGTTGAAAAATTGCAAATCTTCTTTTATAAAGTAAGCTTGTATGAGTTTGCATGTGCATATTTTTTTTAAAGTGGAGAGGGTGGGTCTTTTCAATAATTTGCGAAGATCCTCCACTGTACCTTTAAGGTAAAACACAGATGTCATTTGCACTACATTTCAATGAACATAAAGAAGATTTATGGAGATTCTTTCCCTTTAAACTTTCACATTCTGAGGCGTACCACTATGTAATGTTGTGAAACTAATTAATTATTTGATCCATGTAGAAATCAATGTGTTAGTTTTCTTTTCTCATTTAAAAAGAGAACGGATCCCAAAGACTCAAACATTACACAACGGTTAAAGCTTTGATCTGTGGGTCAAACTCATCGACTTTATCCTCGTTTTCGGCCTTCCCTATGCAGATCTCTTCTTTGCAAAGCCAAATCCGTTCTCAGGAGACTAGCGTCCGCAGCCAGGAGGATGAGCTGAATCGCACCAAGGCAGACCTGAGTCGTCTGCAGGAGGAGGAGGCCCAGCTGGAGCAGAGGTTGGCCTCCGGTCGCATTCAGCTGGACAGTGTGGTGAAGTCACTGAAAACCACACAGGACGAGATCAATCAGGTCAGGCAAGCAGCTGAAGACAGAAGGACTTACATGTGTTAATTATTTTCAGACTATCAGTAATTCGGCTGAAAAGTTAGAATAACGTGAATCTAATATCTAGAAGGCTTTTTGGTGCACAACAACAAAATGTTTCTCGTAGTGGTTAGGGTTATTTCCTTTATCAGTTAACCACTAACCACTGCTTCAGTTTTAGTTTGCAGAAGAGCAATTATATTCCTCCTTCTAAAGATGTCAGAATTTGTAGTCTTGCCTACATCAGCTTTTAAATACAGACCATTACAGATAAAACCAAACGGTTTTTATCCACTTTTGATATGTTGTTTTTAGGCTCGCAGTAAGCTTTCACTGATCCAGGACACCCAAAACGAACTGACCAAAACTATTGAGCAGTACAACAGCGCTTTGAGCGAAATCAACAGGGGAAACTTAAGCAACCTGCCGGATCTAAGCCCGGGTTTCACTGAGAGGGAGAATGGAGGCTTCAGAAGCACGGTAAGAAACAGAAATGAGTCTGAATGCAATGTCTTTCAGCCTCCAAAAAAAACCCCAAACTAGGGATGCACGATATAATCGGCCCCCTATCGGTATCGGCCTGAAAACTGAATATCGGACATCGGCCACCCCACCGATATTTAACCCGATATTTGATCAGCTTCTGAGTTTCTAAAGTAAAAAAAAAAATAATAAAAAATAAAAAATACTAATTCTTCTTCTTCCTCAAAAACTTCTTTTTTACAGACTTACAAACTTCTAAAGACGAGGGAAAAAATATTGATACATTAAAATATCACAATATCTTCATATGCTGATATATATGTCATCGTTATGCTACGAAATCCCCCGAAAATTCACGAAATGTTGCCATATTTTTATATGTTGATATATTGACGCGGTATCGATCTATTTTACTAACAAAATCTCACAAGAATTTGCTAAATATCACGTTTGTAACAGAACGATGAAATTTCACGAAGTTTTAAAAAGTAAAATAGATCGATACTGCGTTTTTAAAAATCAATTTGATATCAGCATATGAAAATATATTTGAGTATATTATAGTGTCAGATTTGGATATTATTATTATTAGTGTCAGAAATGGATAACAGAACTGCTATTTTCAATGACTACTTATTTTTGTCCAGCTTTAACATCGGTATCGGTTATCGGCTACATGAGTTTTAAAATATCTGCATATCGGATATCGGCCAAAATCCCAATATCGTGCATCCTTAAAATATTCATAATTTAGAAATTGTATTTTTTCTATTGTGTGGTTTGATATTTTTTCTTCTTACAGCAGGGTTCCCGCGGGTCCTTAAAACGTCTTAAAAGGCATTGAATTCTTCAAAATAAAACTAAGGCCTTAATTGGTATTAAAATGTCTTAAATCAGTCTTTCTAAAACATCATAAATAGGATTATTTTTATTACGATTTATTTTTTAAATCTAAATAAAACGTTAAAATTGACAATTTTTATTTTTTAAAAACCACTATTGGTTCCGTCCCGATAGCTGGAACCAATAAAAGCGTTGTTGCGTCCGGGACATTTGGGAGATGCACCATTGACTTTTTGTCTGGAAAATATGAGCAAGTGTAAATGTAACGAAAATAGGATATCCAGCCAAGAGTTTTCTCGATGGCTAAAACCAGTATGAGGGAACATACATGAGGCACAGTGTATTTTGTGCAAGAAGCAATTCAAGCTCGGAATGATGGGAATTAAGGCAGTGGAGTCGCACATGCGAAGCACGAAACACAAAGCATCAAAATCGAGTTACTGAGAAACAGCCGGTATTTCTCAGTTTTGTTCCACCCTTGTCTCTGCAACGCCTCCACTTATCACCAAATCAAACATACTAAGAAAACGATACAAAGAAAAATAGCTGCAAAAAAGACTTAGCACTGGTTATGTTGGGGCTTTAAAACTGATTTGTTTTGTTCCCTGCTAAAACGAAGTTTGTAAATTCAGTTAAATAATTGTTAAAATATATCTGTCATTTGTGTGTTTTTAGCTTTCTTCCTGTATGGGAAGCTTTTCAATATTTGAAACATTAGTGCAGTGGTTTATGTTAAAATAAACCATTGGGTTAAGGTGTCGCAAGCGGATTTTTCTTGTGAATTTGGTCTTAAATTTTTATTTCAAGTGGCATTAAAAAGTCTTGAATTTAACTTGCCTTTTGCTGTAGGAACCCTGTACAGAAAATAAAATTAGAGTACTTCCTTTATTTGTCACGCTAGCCAAAATAATGAGGAAATTTAACCAAAATGTTGAGGAAATTTCACTTAAATTATCTGCTTGAGCTTTATGTATCAATGTAAACCTGAAATGACAAATCTAATTATTTTAAGGAATAAAAAATAAAAAAAATCCAGTGAAGCAGATTTTTAAAATAACCCGCTTGCATTTAACTTGCTTGTTTGCATCTAATAGAAAAGGGAGAGGGAGATGTCTCTTAAAAATATATGTAAAAATATAAATGGAATATTTTTTTTTTCTAAAAAAGAATGTTTTATCTAAATTTAAAATAATCAGATTGTCTAAAGTACTTTATTCACCTAAAAGTTTTACTGGCATTAAAGTAGCAAATCATTTGTCTCCACTGGTATTTTGAACAGGTATCTACGATGATGAGCCAAAAGGGGTTTGAGTGGTTGATAATAAAATGTACTCTGTGTCTGTTCTTTGACTTTGACATTATCATTTTAAATAAATTTGTGAAATTTGATAATAAATAAGGACATGTCTAAAAGCATTAATTTTTCATTTTTGAGGCCAAGGCCTCATTCCCACAGCTGGATGCTGCTATCTCTAGTCTCTCCTTTTTTTTTTTTTTTTTTCTGTTGCTTTGACATGAAGGATTTAAAAATTTTTGTTTCAGTGTTTGTGAATAAATGCATATATATTTGTGTTTATCAGGATGACTCTTTTAAGTCAAGGATAGCCATGTTTAACAACAGTGCTAAAAAGGAGCCCCCAGCAGACCCCTTCCAGGTAGAAGACCCGTTCAAGTCGGACCTTCTAAAAGGTTAGGAGTGCGTTATTATTGTTTATTTGTCTTTATTAAGAATATATAGAATTCTGGTTTCAGATGTTGATATTTTTGGGTGACTATCTCAACGTTTTGTCATTTTCTCTATTATTCATGTTTCACCATTTTATTTGTCTAGATCCATTTGGTGAAGATCCCTTCAAAGAAAATGATCCCTTCAAGGGATCCTCATCTGAGGATTTTTTTAAAAGACCCAAGACAGACGTGTTTGGCTCTGGGGAACCTTTCAGTAGGAAACCCACACCGCCAGCCAAGGTTTGACCCTTTGTTGTTTCGTATTTGGTTGGACTGCTCTTCTTTTTACCTGCAGAATGAGATGTTTTTATTCTCTTTTTGATTGTTTTGGTGATTTTCTTTTTTTTCCCCAGCCTGGTGCCTTTGGGAGCGGTGACCCCTTCAAATCCAACAGCTCTAAAACAAAAGATTCAGGTTGGCCGCTTTAACATATCGATTCTTTGTTGTCCATCCTTTTCAGTGTTTTCTTTGTGTTTTGTGATTATATTTTTCTGTGCCTCAACATCTTTATGGTCTTGTATATTTTTCCTCTCACACTTGTTCCAGTAGAGCACCAAATCAGTACATCTAGCATTTTTCACACTGTCATCACGATCTTCAGTGACTCCTTTTCATTTTTTTTTCTTTTTAATGATAGACCAACACATATACCCCATTTACACTACCCTTGAAAAACCGTGCCGAGACCGTTCCGAGCTCAGTAACTGATAGGGTTGGGAATTGAAAAGATTTTCACGATTCCGATTCCCTTTTCGATTCTATGAAATGATTCGATTCTTTATCGATTCTTTTTTCGATTCCAATTTGGGGGAAAAAGGAGAACAAACAGTTTGATTATCAGCATCAACTTTGTTTACTTAACTATTGCACAATCTTACAAACTCAACAAGATCAAGATGTCCACAGGAAATGTGAAACTGGAGTAACATCTGTGTTTAAATGAAAAATAAATATACAAGAACAAACTTAATAACCAACAATGTCTAATAACAAATGATGGGATAATAACCTATTTTAAATAACAAAAAATACTAATTATAAAAGAGTAGTAGGGAAAATTAACAGTTATTTTGCAGAAAGATGAGCATATCTGCTTTTTCTGGAAGGATACAGGATCTTTCAGGGCTTATGGTGTCTCCAGCCGTGGAGAACACCCTCTCAGATGGGGTGGAGGAAGCCTGCACAGAGGTAGTTTTCAGCCAGTCAGATAGCAAGGGCAGCGTATCTTGCTTGTTCCACCACCACAGTGTGGCGCTATCCCTGCAGGGGATGGAGGGCAAGCTTTTATAGAGCTGGATTTCCTGATCTACCCTCTGGGCTAAGGAAAGACGGGGCTTTGATTCACAAAGTGACCGCAGCTCGTTGTCTTCCTCCTCGAATAGTTCTTCCAACTTGCGTAACTTGCGTAACTTACGTAACTTACGTAAAAAACGTGACGTAAGTCGTGCTCCCCAGAGCCGGCGCTCTAGGCTCTGGTGCTGCGGGAATCGAAAAAAGAATCGTTCAGTGAGCTGCCAAACGATGCCATGGAATCGGAAAATACGGAACCGGTTCTTAACAGGAACCGGTTTTCGATTCCCATCCCTAGTAACTGAGATAACTTATCGTGTGTAAATGGAAAGCAAACTGAACTGAACCGAGCTAGACACAACCGAACCGAGCTAACTGCAGACCAGTTCCAGAGGTGGGCTCGGCTCGGTTTTTCCCTGGCTCGGTTCTCTGATAACAAGAGCGCATGAGCAGAACGCGTCATCTGGCTGCACATCGCGATTCGCACTCCATTCCAGTAGTTGGGGATAATGCCCCTCCGGAAGTTGCTTGCCAACCAACACAAGACAGAAGAAGAACAACTATAAACAACAATCGAAATCTTCTCCACGCAACATTTTAATTAATGGCATTTTATATAATAACACCATACCAAGAGTAAAAAAAAATCATTTTGCATTTAAGATAAAAAAAAAAGTCAAATTCCTCTATCTAGAACTCCTCAAGTGGAAAAGTCGACAACTTCATCGATTCACAGAAAAAAAAAACATTAGTTGCAGCCCTAAATCAGATATAAACCATTCCGCTGTAGCCTGACTCTAATTAACTAAACTATAGCATGAAGCTCCACCATAGCCTCAAGTCTTTAACAGCTTTTCTTCCCTGTATTTACCTCCATTAATGTTCTCATTCTCTCTCACCAGCTTCCCTGCTGACCAAAAAAAGCTTCCCCACAGCATAACGCTGTGCCAGATTTTCCTCAGAGTCACTTTGTTCTGGGTAGTACCCAGTGTTTGTCTCTAAAGAGCACCTTTCTCCGCATTTGTTCTCCCCCTACGATACTTTTGACAAGCTGCTAATAAGACTTCATATATTTTTTATTCAACAATGACTTCCTTCTTGGCTCTTGTCCATAAAGGCAAAGAGGTGAAGGGCTTAACTAAACATTTTTCTGTCAGTATATCTTCCCACCCTTGCCCTTTAAAAAAAAGAAAATTTAGTGTATAACTGCTATAGAAAGAAATATGCTATTTAATTTTCATTTTTTGTTTGAAATCTAGTGAAAGGGAAAAAAAATTAGGGAACTGAAATTAGTGTTCATGGCACTAGTTTCATTTTGGTGCAGAAATATGCAAATATTGGATAAGGAACTACTAAATCTAGCCTTTTTTATTAGCTTCTTGTGTTAAAAAAAATAAAAAACTAAACATTGTTCAAGAAGTCCAAATGCTGCCAAGCCCAGGGTATCTGGACAATCTGTTTTCAGCTGTATCACACTCTTTGCATTTACAGTAAACTGAGCGGAGCTTCATGTGGTGTTTAAAGCCTCTCCACAGCTTCCTTCAGTCTGCTGGGCTCCTTTGTCTTTATAAAAACGTTTGTTCCCTAATGTCCGTAAGCCTCTTGTTCATTGAAAATGGCATGTTAACATGTTTTTTTTTTTCAAACATGGGTTGACCTGCTGACAATCGGCATTTGGCTCCATTCCCACTCTCATAACAAGCTGAGTCTGACTACTCGCTGGCAAGCTGTCCCCCCGCTGCTGCATGTCTGGTGACACCATCACACTGGGATAGAGTTGATGATGTCACCAGTGCGACAGAAATCAGGAAAATAAACAATAGAGAGAGAAAAGTTAGGAAGCCAGAGCGTAATACACTATATTGCCAAAAGTATTTGCTCACCTGCCTTGACTCACATATGAGCTTAAGTGACATCCCGTTCCTAATCCATAGGGTTCAATATGACGTCGGTCCACCCTTTGCAGCTAGAACAGCTTCAACTCTTCTGGGAAGGCTGTCCACAAGGTTTAGGAGTGTGTTTATGGGAATTTTTGACCATTCTTCCAGAAGCGCATTTGTGAGGTCGCACACTGATGTTGGACGAGAAGGCCTGGCTCTCAGTCTCCGCTCTAATTCATCCCAAAGGTGTTCTATCGGGTTGAGGTCAGGACTCTGTGCAGGCCAGTCAAGTTCATCCACACCAGACTCTGTCATCCATGTCTTTATGGACCTTGCTTTGTGCACTGGTGCACAGTCATGTTGGAAGAGGAAGGGGCCAGCTCCAAACTGTTCCCACAAAGTTGGGAGCATGGAATTGTCCAAAATGTCTTGGTATGCTGAAGCATTCAGAGTTCCTTTCCTTGGAACTAAGGGGCCAAGCCCAGCTCCTGAAAAACAACCCCACACCATAATCCCCCCTTCACCAAACTTTACACTTGGCACAATGCAGTCAGACAAGTACCGTTCTCCTGGCAACCGCCAAACCCAGACCCGTCCATCAGATTGCCAGATGGAGAAGCGCGATTCGTCACTCCAGAGAACGCGTCTCCACTGCTCTAGAGTCCAGTGGCGGCGTGCTTTACACCACCGCATCCGACGCTTTGCATTGCACTTGGTGATGTATGGCTTGGATGCAGCTGGTCGACCATGGAAACCCATTCCATGAAGCTCTCTGCGCACTGTTCTTGAGCTAATCTGAAGGCCACATGAAGTTTGGAGGTCTGTAGTGATTGACTCTGCAGAAAGTTGGCGACCTCTTCGCACTATGCGCTTCAGCATCCGCTGACCCCGCTCCGTCAGTTTACGTGGCCTACCACTTCGTGGCTGAGTTGCTGTCGTTCCCAAACACTTCCATTTTCTTATAATACAGCTGACAGTTGACTGTGGAATATTTAGGAGCGAGGAAATTTCACGACTGGATTTGTTGCACAGGTGGCATCCTATCACAGTTCCACGCTGGAATTCACTGAGCTCCTGAGAGCGACCCATTCTTTCACAAATGTTTGTAAAAACAGTCTGCATGCCTAGGTGCTTGAATTTATACACCTGTGGCCATGGAAGTGATTGGAACACCTGATTCCAATAATTTGGATGGGTGAGCAAATACTTTTGGCAATATAGTGTAAGTGTTCTTTATTCTTTCGCTCTTCTATCTGTCTGAATCCCTCCCACCAGTGCTTGGCCGTGTTTATGGAACGCAAACGGAGTTGTTTCTCCTTGTTAGATCAGAAGTGACTGGTGCTGTGTGTTGACGTCTATATGTTGCGTTCAATGGTGTCACGTAATTTAGCGGGTCAACCCAGCTCTGGTGTTCACACAGCATGCCGATCAGGGCTGAGACGATTTTAATGCGTGTCGCTTGTCGAGTCGTTTGACCCGGGTCGACACGCGACAGTGAGCTGTTCCCACTGCCACTAAAAGCCAATTGTTCCCGGGTTTAAATGGGTTTTTCAGTGGGAAAGAGGTATAATTTAGGGGTTTCAAATAAAGGGAGGCTGAGTACATGTTTTAATGTTTTTTTAAGAGTAATAATAATTTTCCTCTGTTTACTTTTAAGTCTATCACATGAAATGGCTTTAAAATATATTGAAGTTTGTGACAATATGTTGAAAAGTTTACATGTTTTGTATTTAAAACAGTAATTGAGCTGGATTTAGTGGACTAAGATGGGAAGATGGTGTAATAATTTAAACCCTGACATCACTTTGTCAAATAAAACACCAGCATTTATCCCTTTACTTAAAGAGGCAGATTTTCCTTCAGTTCTTCTCAGAGTCTATTAACAGTCTTCTGGTCCTGAGAGGGCACCATTAGGATCAAACCCATCTCAAAGAGTCATTCTTAGCCTCTCTGGGTGACGTGTTAGATTTAGGTTTTATTTTTGGCGGATGGGGCATAAGGGGGCAAACAATTTTTACTCTCTGCGGCTTCAGTTTTTCCTCTGGTCTCAGGTTATTTTTAGCCGAGCACCTACACATTTAACTGCTGGCCAACTGAAAATACTTCCCCCTCACCCTGGAAAAACAGGAGGCGTTCAGGAGCCAAGCAAAACAGAAACTGTGACTGCTGCTCCTTCAACACTAGAACACACTGCCACTCCTTCAAGCGGCGCTCTCCTGCCTCTGTCCTCCCTCTGTATCTGCTGCCATTGAAGTGCTGGGCCCCCGTTCGCTGCGGAAGCTGTTTTAAAGTTGGTTGCAGCTGCTGTTCAAGGCTCTGCGCCTTCTGCACATGCTTCTGAGGAACACAGAGGCATCTGTAGACCTGAGTTAGTGCGCGTAAAAGGAAAACAGCACGCTGCACGTGAATGGGCTCTTTTGTGGTTTAGGCACACACAAAAAATTGATTATGGTAGAATGTTTTGTTTTGTTTTCTTTACTCCAGCCATCTGCAGTTTGTTGCTTTTTTGGAAATGAAGTGGCTTCAACAAAACAACACGGGCTCAGTTCTGGTTAACAGCACACCAACTGACGCCTTTAATTAGCTGATCAGATGCATACGTCAGGTCGAAAAAAAGAAGAAGAAAAAAACGCCGTTCTACAGGTTCTCACAGAAAATCTCATGGAAAATTAAACGGTCATGCCACATTCTCTGCTCTGAAAATAGCACAAAGGCACCCCTCCCCCTAAAAACCCTCAGAATAAGCAAAATACGGAGATAATTTCGGCGTGTGGTTTTTGGGGCATAACCTTATTACAATTTCTGGCTCCTTCTGTGTCTGCAACCAAATGCTCCAGATGTATTAAAATAAACTTTTGTTGCAGATTTGTTTGCAAAAGCGGACCCTTTTAGAAGCAGTTCCTTCGGAGGAAAGGGTGCTGGATTTGCTGACTTCAGTCACATGTCTAAGGTAAGCTCCTGTAGTCGTGAATCACTTGCACCATAAAGCTGAATATTCCACTGAAGCTTGTAGGTTTCCACCTTTCCTTTCACCTTGACCATTTGCTGGCTTCTTGGAAATCTGCTGTCCTCTTTATTTTATAAAATTGTTGACGGATTTTATTTCTGTTCTCTCTCTTTCTTGTTTTTTATTCCTCGCATGAGCAGAAGCCTGACCCTCCAGCAAAGAAAAATGTGCCAAACCGGCCTGCACCTCCCTATGGTAATTCCTTTTTTTAAGATACCACTTTTTGACATTAACAGATGAGAGTTTTTTTTTTTAATATTGGCGTTAGATCTTACTGTACATCAGTGTGTTTGTCACTTAATGCTGTCAGAATATAAAGATGTGAAGAAACTTTGCTCTTAATACTTAATGTGTTTCCCTAATCTCTCCCCTTACTCGCTCACAGTTTCTTGCGTCCATTCGTCTTCTACTCATTCTGTCTTGATAATTCAGTGTCAAACATCCCTTCTTCTGCAGCGTGAGCTTCCTTTACCACAGCTCACATTGTTGGATATATTTCAATAGGACTAAGTTATCTGGGGACCAAGATGGCCACACAAGGAGGCTTACTTTCTGTTTGAACCGTCCCTGTTGATGTGGCAATATATTTCTGATCATCCTCATGCGATTGCTGTCAAAGCTATTTAAAAAGTCTTAAATATGATGATCTTAACTTTAGGTCTTAATCCACATTTTAACTTAACTTTTTGTTTTCTTTAAATGTATGAAATAACTGTTAAATTTATGCAGTTTTTTGTTCCTTGCTCATTACAAATATAATCTTATATTTCTTAAAAAAAAAAAAAAAGGACCAGTTGGCTTTATTTGCTTCATGTTTTCAGTCATTTCTCAGTCGGGAAATGGTTCTACCATCACTTGATCGGCTCTTATTGATGACTGGGAGGTCTTCTATTGTTGCATTCAATAAATACATTAAAATCAGCAGCTCTAAATCAGGCACAGATCTACGACCCATTATTTGATGCAGCAAATTAAATAATTTCTTCTACGTCAGATTCTTTCTCCTCCATCCAAAAATAGGTCCTTTTTCCGATGTTGCATTATAGGTTGTTCTCCTGTTCATGTGCTGTAAGATATGCAGAAGTCTATGCATCAATGATGAAGGGAATGCAATTACTGTTGATAATACTTTTATTGCCAAAGTAAACCTGACTTCAGTTAAAGAGCACTGATGCTAAAACTGTCATCTGCAACTAACTCCTTTATCCTGGGAGAGTGGATCTTTAATGCCCGGATTTTGGCTCGTTTTATTTGACCTTGACTCAAATTACACGACACACCTCAGAATTAAAAATCATTGTGTTATATTTGACTTGATTTTTTTTTTTTTAGAAGTCTTATGGGGCTTAAATTCAAATAATCTGGGTCTTTAAAAGTAAAACATTGAACTAAACAAATGTTGAATCTAAGAAATCCTTTAATGTACTAAAATTAAAGGATGTTTGTTTTCTATGTGCTATTACTCTACCCAGCCATGGCAAGGTGGCCAACATAAAAGCCTCTTTATTAAGAAAAACTAAACAAAGCTTAACTATTTTATAAACGTTTCATTTGTTTTTCTGTTTTTACGGCAGAAAGGTGTTTTATGGCCTAAATGCAGGCTAGAAAAACAACTTCCTCAGTAAGGTATAAGATTGCAGAGATAGTAGTTTCTTGTTTTGATACTGTCAACAGGAAAGCTGTTGGCAGAGATATGAGAATAGTCGGGGTCACAGCATGTGGGAACCTCATTTAACCAGTTCACATTGTTGCTAATATTAATAGGAAACTTCTTTTTTTTTTTTCTTTTTTTTTTTTTACTCCTTACAATAACAAACCAATGCTACTTAATTTAAAGTTCTGTTTTTGGGATGATGGTGGTTCTTTCTTACACAGTGTTGCGTTTTGAGTTCATGTGAAGTCATACAACACCTACAACCCATTCCCAGGCCATGCCCTTCCGCTGTGACCTTGCACTTATTCTTTAAGCAGAAGCCACAGCCTGAGAAAGCCGGTGTTCCCCTTTGCTTCACCACGCGGAACAGGGTTGAGATGAACCACAGTTTGCCAGCAAGCTTGTTCTCGCAGTGTGCCTCTCATGTAAAAGGGAAGTGAGAGGCTCACTCCTAAATTTGTGGCCTGCTCTCAATATCTGCATCTCTGAAACAGTTGCACAACTAATCCTGGTCCTCGAGGACGCTGCAACTCAGATGTTTGTCTGCAGTTGTGTTGCAGCATTTGTTTACATCCCCTACTCAAGTTGGGTTGTGTAATTGGGATTTAATGAGACAAATATTTGGTTAGCTTTTCTACATATTATGCTTAAGCCCTCTAGGTTTTTCTGACACTTAGAAGATAATGGGAACCAGTGAAAAGCGATTATTGTCAAAGTGTCCTCAGCTTACAGTAAAAAGGGTGTGTCTGCTTTTACCAATCATATGTTCCAGAAAAGCAGCTCTGTGCAAATTGAAGCATCAATGCATCAGTGAACTATACTCAAAAATGTGGTTAACACCTTTTCTTGAACCATTATCGCTCTCCCCAGGGTGACGATTGTGAACAACGTGGGCACAAAGCTTTTGGCTTCCTGTGAATATTTTGTGGGTCCATTATTACACATTCAGTTTTTAAGTGTGAGCTTGTTTTCCCAAGGGAGCTCTAATGAGAGGGAAAGATGCTATAGGTATTTATTGATTACAATTTTTATCTCCTCCAGTAAATCTGCTCGGTTCGAGTGCGTCAGAGCTACGGCAGGGTGTCGGTAGAGATTCTTTTATTCTGGCACAGCCAAGAAACGAATCCAAAGACTGTCCTGTGGGTTTTGGTTCTGTAAGTGTAGTCCTCTCTCGTCTTTTTTTTTCTGTGTGTGTTCTTTTATTTTTGGACCGATAAACGCCGACTGCATGAATTGCAGAGCTGTCTGCTTAGAGATGTCGTCCAGTGCCGTCGGGCCACATTTTGGTCTTTTACTTCGGGACAGCGAATGCTCACCGCAAACATGTTTACCGGCTGTTGACTAACCACATTTACAGCTTTTTCACAGTTGGGCCACAAAAGAGCAAAATGTTTGCATGACTGATTTGGATGTGTGTGGAATTCTTTCTTCATGGAAAAACGGGTTTGCATGTTTGCAGAAAGTGAGGATTTATAAATGTGACTGCCACCAGGCTGGTGGACGCGTCTGTCTGTTCCGGTCGTGCTTTAAGAGCATTTTTCGTGTCATTAAGTGCAAGAGGGGCAAGTTGAAGGCTTATTTGCTCTCAAAGCATGACATGCCTCGGAGCTCAGCACAACTGAGGAAAATCTGCCGCTTTGTAAACCGCCTTCCACTATCTTCATGACAGCCGGACATGCTCTCAGATAGAGAGATGATGCATGGCAACTTTTGGGGTTTTCTCATGTGACATCTGCATGATTGTTGTAAAAAGGGATTTTTTTTTTCTTTTATGGAGCTTTGCATTATTTGTTTTTTTTTTTTCTGCCAGGATCTGAAGTTGAGAAGGTAAGAAAGAAAAAGAAAAGGTGTGGTGATCCATCTTTGCATGTGAAACTCTTGTTTGCACCACATAATCTGAATATAGTCAATCATGGGTGCACATGATCTATAAAGAATTACCAAGAATTTGTTGCTTTAGCATAGAATTATTTTCTGAAAGTGTTGCTTTAAGCTTTTAGCTTTGGTGTGTTTGCTTTTTTATGTAATAGAAATCTAGTGCAATGCAAAAGTGCTAAAAACCCTCATCATTAATCTGTTTTGTCACTTTAAAACCAGAACCTTTAATGAATTTTACTTGCATTTATGTTGGTTTTTTATGCAGTATACATAGTTGTGACGACCAAGAAAATAATTGAAGTTACAAATATAAATTTTAAAAGTGTGGTGTGAATTTATTTTCAGCACCTATTAGTCAGTAAATTGTAGATTCAACTTTTGCTGATGTTAAAATGGCGAATGTTTTAGGGTTTGTTCCAAGCAGGCTTTTACATCTGGAGACCAAAATATTTGCCTATTCTTTGCTAAATAGATTGAAAAAAGTAAATTTGCACTAGTTTTTCTAAGTTAATATAGGTCTGGTTCATTACTAACACATAAGCAAAGTTCTTATTAAACCTCTTTTGATGCTCTAGATCTTGATTAGCCCTCAATTTGAAGTCTTTTGCAGCCTTTAACGTGTTCTTCCAGTTTTGCAGCAGGTTTTGCTTGATTTGTATTTTCTCCCCTTAAAAAAAGTCATATGCACATCAAGACCTGACTTCCATCATCTTTAACTCCTGGTCTATGTGTTGAGATCAGAGTTTTCAGATCAGACTTACGAAGAGGATTTAGTCTTCACCCCACACAGCATTTTGAATGTAAAGCAACACTTTCTGAATATTTGTGTAATTTTTTTTCTATATTTTTGTGACAAAATGAAAACTTTAATTGGTTATTAGTACTTTTACAAAGCACTGATTAATCATTTCTGCATCTGTTTTAATTGGGCCTTAATTGTTTACCAATTTATTGCCGTTCGCTGCTCATCATTTTACACAATGTCCGTCGTTCTTGACTTTCTGCCTGTTTAGAAACATCTGCTTTTGTTCCCTGATTTGTCTGTTTCTGTGTTGACATTTGAACCTCAAGCCGCAACCACATTCCTTTCTTTTTCTTTCTTCTTTTTTGGTTTTGTTTCCCAATTCTAATGTTTGTTTGTCCGCTGCAGTTTGGAAGTGAGAACCAGCAGCTGGAGTGGGCCAAGCGGGAGAGCGAGCGTGAGGAGCAGGAGAGGCTGATGAGGCTGCGGTTGCAGGAGCAGCAGGATCTGGAGCTGGCCATCGCTCTTAGCAAGGCAGACGCTTCCAACACCTGAGCAGGACGACGGCCAGCTCAGCTCTCCGTCCACCTAACTGTCCTCCGTTCTCCGTTTACAGGCTCATGACCTCAGATCCCTCTTTTTTTCCTTTTCTTTTTTTTTAACCAAGTGGTTTAAGAAACCTGTGTTTCTTCTGTTATGACTGGACTCTCATCAAGTGACTCTAAATTTCAAACCATTAAAGGTACAGCTTCCAAACACCAACTTTAAACAGGGAGAATTCAGAGCTTAGCTCCACACAACAAAAACATCACAGGCTACCCAGCACTGCTGACTTCTCAGCCGGCCTGGTGGGTAAACCCTTTAAGAAGAGTCAAAATTAGGTTCAGCACATTATCTATAATTACTTCAAACCCTGAGCTACAGTACCCATCATCTCTTTGTGCGTAAAGCGTCCCAGGTCAATGATGACATAAAATTGCCATCTTAGTTACCATAACAGTGCTGTTACAACCCTTACCAGACAGTAGCATGGATTTCCTTCTTAACACTAGCAGCCATCATTATTACTTGGTTAATGTAAATATCTAATTATGGGAGCTTCCCAAGTGCTCTGCTGTCTTATTTAACCACCCAGACGTAAACTTTCTGTCAATTTAGAGATGCACCAATCCCAAATTTATCCAGTTATTGTAAACTTTTGTGCCTTAAGGTTCCTAAGAAAATGATCATAATCAGTATTAGCAGGTCAAGGATTAAGGAATAGCATGCAAACTACATATTTATATCTTTCCTCCGATAATTTATTGGTAAAGGAAGTGGAACCTACTGTATGTGAGGTTGTATGTGTGAGAGAGCAGTTACTGTTAAACATGTTTTAATTTGAAATAAAGATAAGCATTACAGATGTGTTGTTTTACACTGTTTCAATAGCAGTTTTTGTGTAAAGCTTAGAAATTGTAGAACGTAAACTGAAACGCCCCCAAATGATTTTGTAAATTTCCGAATCTACATCTTTAAAGAGACGGTCAGCCTTCTTATTATTTGCTGAAACTCTCTCTCATACAAAATACTTTTTCTCATTAGGACTTTTTGTTGCTGTGCATCTTAAAAGCATAACTTTGATTACTCTTCACTGGTTGTACTTCTTCAATCTTCTGTCTGGATTCAATCTTGGCGTCTCACGTCTTTCAGCCACATGGAGTGGAAAAGTTTTTTTTTTTTTTTTGTAAAGTGTTTTTCCCATCAATAATGGTTTCCATATCATCAGCACATACTGATAGCTGCTTCTTATCCTGATTTCACTCAGTAGAATAAACAGATTTCCGAGTTTCTCACCAGCCTCTGATTGGCCAGGGCCGGTCAAGCTGAAAACCCGATTACCAGCCATCCTTCTTGGTGCATCTCTAAATATTTTGACTGAAAATTTGGATTCTCCTGTGTATTATGTGTCCAAAAAAGATTTTTTTTTTATTTTTTTATTTAAACACTGAAATACATCCATGGCTTCAACATATTAACTCTGATCCAGAGCTGCATCAAAAAGGAACAGCTTGAACTTCCATGTGTCTGTGCACCAGCCATTTTTGTAAACTCTTTTTACTCCCAATGACCGCCCACCTTGTGCTTGTTAGTTTGTTTACCTTAAACAGCTGATTACAGGAGGTGGCGCAGCTCTGCCAGCATTAAAAAAGGCACTTGTAGCACAGACTCAACACACTTTAGCCCCTACTCTCATCTTCCCACCTCTGTCATCATCGTCGTCTTGGCGCACGCTTCCAGTAATCTCTGCAGAGTTGTCTGAGGCTGCACTCAGCGGGGGGAGCCGAGGAAGATGTATTTATCTCATTGTAGTCTCGCCGACTGGAGCCGTTCACAGCCATTTTATCTAACTGCTAACCATAATGCTTTGCAACATAAACACTGGAAGACTTTTCTCTGATACTATGACGACAAAGGCATCCTCAGTGTTTTGAATATCACATCCATATGGTTCTTTTCTATGTTAATATAACAGGCAAGTCAAATTAGCCAAAGAGGGAATATTTTACAGTTTATGTATGAAGTCAAAGAATGAAGTAAAATGCATTTTGAAGTCTGTTTTCCATAACCTTGAGTTAGGCAGAAAACTCAAACAGAAGACGTCAGCCACTCTGTTGGTCTGCGATTGTTGAGCTTGTCCAGTACCAGATGGTTAAAGAAATCTTTTTTGTGCACTCCATACTTTATGATTAAATTACACTTAAATGAGCACGGTTTGGATTAGGCAAGTCCTGCCTGAAATACTAAGCTGTCCTGAAGGACTTGGTCAGATCATAACATCCTTTTTTTCTGTCATTACACCTGATTTAATTATTTAAGCTTTCATCTCCACTGTTTATCGCATTCGGGTTCAAGAATTGAAGATGTTTTGAAACGTTGTCAAAGCTGGTGATAATCATTGGCATATTCCTTCGTTAATGAACCACTTCTCAGTCCTTCAGATGTGAGCAGCTTGTTTTTGACCAATGGTTTGGTTTGATGTGACAAACTTGCACTCCCATACAACTAAAAGCCTCTATAAAATGGAAAAGTGTAAACCCTTTCTTTTTATGCTAATGCTGTTACATGAACTTTTTCTCATTTACTTATTACTACAGAAGTACATTTATTTTTCTTACTTTGCTTTTTCGCTGACAGGTAAAAAAAACCTTTACATGTTCTTTTTTTTCTGTGAAGACATGTCTATGAATGTGGAAGGTTTTTCAAATGCATTCTTATCGCTCTCCATTATTAATCAGGTCTATTTGGCACATAATGAATGTACTGCATATTCAATATAGGACATGTAATACATGTGACAACGCCTTAGATTATCCACATATCAACACTAAGCTGTAATATTGCAAAGTATATATGTAATTATTAAAAATTAATTATCTTGAGTTTTGATTTTCTGAAATAATGTAACAAATTTTAACCTAATAAACTTGAGTTATAACATTCCTGGAAAATGAAAATTTCTTCATCAATATAAGCAAAAAAAAGGACAGCTTTAATAGGAAAATGCAATTATAGAATATTAATAAATGAACAATAAGGGCTATATAAGATTTATTTGAATAATTACTGAGTGAAAAACGAACTGGGAACACAACTACTTTCACTTTTCCCAACCGAGGTGAAATTGTACATGAAGGCTCTAAAATGTGCAACACCCACTTAAAATTAGGAAGAAAAAAAAATTTCCCCACCCCCCTCTCACAAAAATAATGTTTAAAAAAAAGAAGTTTTTACAGCTGTATAGCATGGTGGTGGAAGCATGATGTTGAAGCTCTGTTTGACTGCAGTGGAAGTTCTATAGCATACAGAAACAATACAGCTGCTTTTATGCTGACTGTGTGTTAAGTTTACGTTCACACATTTCTGACGCTAATTTCGTGTTTTGAGGATTTTGATGATTTGTCTTGATACACATAATTACAACACACAACTCAGAAGGTTTTTAAAAACATGCATTTGGTGCACAAGACTGCATTTTTAAAGCACAAGGCCTAGTGTTCGCCCTAAAAACATAGTCCCAACTGTTGAACTTAATAGTGGTTGCATTATGCTGAGGGTCGATGTGATGAGGAAAGAAACTCTTTATAGACCTCATTCTCTGCTAAATGCTTAGTCACTATGGGCGTGCTTCAGTGGCACAGTGGTTAGCACGCACGACCCACGTACGGAGGCCTTAGTCCTCGATGTGGGCAACCCGGGTTTGAATCTGACCTGTGGTCCCTTGCTGCATGTCTCTCCTTCTCTCATACCCTCTTTCTTGTCAGCCACTGTAGAAAAAACCTCAAAAAACAAAAATAAGTTGGACACTAGTTGTTTCAACACCATCCAAACACTAAAAAAGTGTTGAGACCTATAGCCACAAATGTGCTGGATCCTTGCACAAAATCTCATATCTGAGGGAAATTTAGACCTTTTAACCTAAGGTGCTTATTTTTGAATTTGTGGGAAAAGTCAGGATACCTGAGGAGAACTTAGAGAAAGACCCTGGCTGGGCTTCAAAGCCAGGACCTCCTTGCTGCACAGCCACAGTGCTAACATCTAGACCACTGTGCAAGCAGTAATGAATATCTAAGCCAATATTAATAAGGCTGTTTTACCCTGCATGTCACTTTATTCTGGTGTGGATTAGAGAGAATCCTCAATTATTTCAACCCTCTGCTATCTGGTTTTGTTTTAAAACTCATTGAAGTTTTGATATATTCAATTTGTCTCAGAAAGAAATGGTTTAAGGCACTTTGTAAAACCTTAGAGAATATGATATCATTATGAGTGGATAGTGTGCAAAATACTCTTTTTTTCTATTTTGTCCTGCCAAAGTAAAATCTAATTTATAAGGTCCACCTTAAGGCCAAGTTTTTCATCAAAGTGCTGAACAATAAAAGAAAAAGACAATAAACATTAAAACTGTTTAAATTGTCTGTCATTTCAGACGTTTTTTCAACAGGAATAACTAAAACCAATGATTTGTTCTAAAGAAAGGGATTTTATTCACACTATACCTGTTAAAATTCACCATGGATATATTTTATTCTATTTTCAAGTTTATGCTTTGATATTAGAACAAAGAAAAGTGAAATGAGAGTGATACACATATGCATCTCTCAGTATAGATATTTTTGACTCGGTATATGCTTCCCCTTTTTCTCCCTTTTTCTTTTTTTTTGTTGAAAAATATGAACTCTTGCACATGGAAACATTTAGGTTGAAATCTACTTGTTGAAATTTTCTTTTAGGGGGCAAAGCTGTTGTTCTCACATTAAATGTCCGTGACCATATCATTCAGGGAGGTTTTAAAACCTTCTTGAAAGCAGTCATCCATCTTTTCACTACTGGCATCTGGCTTTGATACCAGCTCTCAATGCAGTCCTTCATGCAGGAGATACAAATGCTCACTGACACCATATGTATAATATAAAGCATGGACCTGGATACTTTGAAACTGTAGTGCAGGGTGAATATGTGTAATTGTAGTATTAAGGCGCTTTGATGTCCTACTATAATTTCTACCCATCTGAAAGGGAGTCTAAGGGCTCCCTGATGAGGGTTTGCAGTGCCCCTCTGTCCAGACGGCTCCTGGCCTCACTCTGTAATTATGAAAATGGAGTGTTTGTATTTATAGGCTAAGCCCACAAGCGGCTACCCTTCTCTGTCTTGCAGCTGCAAAACATCACTGGAAATCAGGTCGTCCTTAAGTTCTCTTAAATCAGCATCTTCTACTCAAAACCGTATTTTCCAGTGATGGTGATCTGATAACCTGCAGCTTTCCTGGGTGCATCTATTTTCAAGCACAGTTGTGAAACCGTATTGAGTGGGTGGATGTGGTTTTAATCAAAACGAGCGAGCAAGAGGGTAGCAATGAGAAACGAGTAAGTGATCATAAAGTTCATCAGTCCCAAAATATTGTTTTCAAATCTGTTCTTTTTAATATTTACAATAAATACACATTTTTTACAGTATAAAATCCATGTACTTATTCATATAAATGTAAGTAAAAAATAATGCACAGGACATCAAGCCCTGATAGTGTACAGAGGGGCTGGATCCCAGAGATTCACACGGAGAAGAAAAGAAATTCCAAATAGGATGACAAAAAATAAAAAAGTCAGAAGGCAGTTCAGACACATGAGGCAGTTTAAATAAAACATTGTCTCTGCGCTTGTTAGGCAACTGTATGTGCATTTTTACCCCTGTCAACAAGAACATTTACATATTTTTTGGGTTCTGTTACAAAGAGTTTTACAGTAGCACAGTCATAGAAAGGCACTTTGTGTCAAACACAGCGTTCCAGTTCTGTCAAAGAAGAGTAGTATATACAGGGCCAGCCCCTTCTTGGTCTGCCTGCTCTCAAGCAAACGAAGCTTTTCCAAAGCTTTCTTTATACAACCAAAGTAGTACCAGCTACAGTTTTAGGGAAAAAAATACACTAAAACGTTTTAATTCAATACTATATATATATATATATATAAAAGAATTTGGCCACTTGGAGAGCATTTTAAATAAAAAAAAATACAGCTGAATCACAATCAAGTCCTTTGGTGAGCTCCTTCACATGTGTCTCTTCATGTGAAGCGCCAAATGGTCAGACCTGGAGAAGGCGCGCTCGCACAGGTGGCACTGGAAGGGTCTGTGTCCGGTGTGTTTACGGAAATGACGGGTCAGCTCGTCGGAGCGGGCGAATTTCCACCCGCAGCCTTCCCAGCTGCAGTGGTATGGTTTCTCACCTGCGTGGAGGAAAGATAAGCACAAGAGTTAGATTTTTATTATCTATTTAAAGTTTGGGTCAGCATAGATTGTTGCTGCACAAAACAAAAGGGATAGTGAGGATGGAGCGCCTACCTGTGTGAGTTCGCAGATGTGCCTTCAGGTGTGAGCTCTTGGTGTAAGTTTTTCCGCAGCCGGCAAACGTGCAGGTGTGCGTCGCCGTGCGTTTACGCGGCCATGTACGCCTCCCTCTCTTCGGCTTGGACTCCATCAGCTCCAGCGGGGATGAAGGCGGCGTGAGCAACACCCTTTGCGCGCCCGCGGGCTGCAGGGCGAGACCCTCGTCGTACATCCCGAAGCCGGGATGCGGAGCGTGGTAGGGCATCTGCATGTGAGGAGCCTGAGGGTGGTGCTGGAAGGACGCAGCCGTGTTGTATTTCTGCTGGAAGCACATCTGCGCCTGGCAGTCTGTAGCCTGCTGGTCGTCTGGGCTCAGCGGCGGGGTCATGCTGCTGGCCGCCCGCGGGGAGATGGCCACACGGGGCTGCTCGAAGGACATCATGCATGAAACGTTGCCTTCTTGTTTGATCCTGCTGCAGCTTTGAGGGACCATCCCCATCACGGGGCCGTAGCTGTCCATTGCTGGCTCTATTTTGATATTTTCCGGGCGGGGGAACTGCGCCGTGTTGATGTAAAATCTCCCCTGAACGCCGGGGTTGCGCGCGACACCGTAGCCGCCGGGTCCGTCAGAGCGCAGCAGCTCCGTCATGAGGCTGGCGCCGTAGGGAGGAGGCGGGGAGCGGTGGTCCTCTGCGGGGTACTGCGGCACGGAGTTCCCGCTTGTTGAGTACATGGGATCAGCTGTGCCAACGTATTCCACCGCGCTGTCCGATCCAGCCGTGTTGGAGAGAATAAAATCCAGATCCAAGAAATTGCTCAGATCCTCGTCGTCCTTTTTGCTCTGACAGTCCAGACTCTGTACCAGTTCAAGCATGGAGCAACCCGTAGATGGGTGTTTGTCCATCTCTTCTTTCCACCTCTGCGCAGAAAAAAAAAAACAATAATTAGACATTATAAATAAGTTTGCACAGAATCACTTCAGCTTTTCTTGCGCACAAAAGTTATTCAGTCTCTCCTGCAAGAATTCAAACTTACATTTTCCCAGTTTTTTTCTCTTTGGTTTGAGAAGGTCGAAAACGATGGCAGCATCACTCCTGACAGGGCCATCGCTCAGTGGGATATAATATTTGCACAACTTCTGATCTCTGTTGAAGTTGAGCCGCAGCAGTTTGGAGCGCTTTCACTGTCTCCTTCTCTCTCTCTCTCCACAGCTGCGCTTCAATCACACCAACAGCAGTTTAAAAGTGGTAGGAGGTCCTCCCCGACTTTATAACTCTCCAAGCTGAGATAGAGCAGCCAATTGTGAGAGTTCAGGAAACGAACGTAAAGTCTGGTAAATTTAGCTCTTTATAAAGCCGCTTCTCTAGGCTGCCGGCTCAGTGCGCTCTCTGACTGTGATAGGAGAGGCGCTCGGAGCCCTATAAAGAGGAGGATGACGTAGGCAGCAGAAAGAAAACCATATACTTACGTAATATAAGCAGAAGAACAGGTCTGATGACAGAAACAAAGCCTTAGGACAATCTGCTCTAACAGTTTTATTGAACATTTAGTTGTTCGTGTAAACTAAGAATGTGCCTTAGGCTCACTCAAAACTTTTTTTTCTCTTTTTTTTTTCCAAATCAAGAAAAAGGATTCTGATTAAAGCAATTAACATCCATACAATTAAACTGAACGTTAAATGAACATTTTCCTTAAACATATCTGAATTTTAATAAATGTGTAAAAATAAGGTTGGGTTGAATTATATTGGAGCATTAGTTATTTTTAGCACTAATGCTTAGATCAGATTGTACGCAATTTATTTGAATTATTTTCATTTCAGTAAACCGTGTTTGCTTCTTATTTTTTTATGCAGTGTCCTTGTTTCTAATAGAAAGTTTTTTATGTGGGTGTCAGACTGAAATTTGTATTCGAGTTAAACTGGATTATCTAGAAAAAGAAAAAAAAAGGAGAAAAATTTGGCTTTCATGAGAATGGTGTCTCACCTTGAATTAATTTGACCAATTAGCCCATTCATTTCTCAGGAATGCCTCATACCTGCTTAAAGAAATAAAGACTTATTATAGAAGGACAAAGAGGGTGGGAAAATTATCTTAATGAGCTAAAATGTGAGTTTTTTTTTTTTTTTTTTTTTTTTTTTTTTTTAGAACAATGACAACTTTAAAAACGTGTCTTTCTATAGCAGGGTAAAGTGACTCCAGGCCTGCTGTCTCATCCACCTGCTTGGCGCTTCTCGCTCTCGGCTCATTATCATTAATGGAAAATGTTTTGTTTTTTTTGTTCCCTCACAGCAGGCTTGTCCAAACAGGCGCCAGGATCGTCTGAAACGGTTGTTCACGCTCGGACCACTCGCGATGTAAACATGACTTAAAGTAACATCTCTTTTAGGTGTAAATGATGGGAGCGCGGTGTCGATTGGTCACATATTAGCATAAGAACAGGGAACTGGCTCTGCAGAGAGGAGGCTGGTTTCTGATGGATAGCAGAGCAGGAAAAGTGTTGTTCTTTTTCTCCCCCTGTTTTGTTAAAAAAACAATCTAAAAATGTCACAAAGAAGTCAATAAACACTGAAAGGTTGATTTAACTGAATACATTTAACACTGTCAATCACGACTGTGGGGGAGCTGCAGAGATCCAGAGCTCAGGTGTGACTTCAAATCTTCAAATTTAGTCTAAGGTGGGAAGTGGACTTGAAGAAAGGTGGTGGCAGTATCATGCTATGGGAAAGTTATTTTCCATTACAGAGGAAATCCATTTCAGTTTCATTGTCTTGTTTTAAATTACAACATATTTAAAATTATGGTAAAAATAAGTGTGCTTATTAAGTATTTTTATCTTTGTCCTGAAATAGCTGATACAACTTGATCATCATAGGAAAAATTAACTAGTACCTCCCAATTTATAGTTTTTCCTCTGGCATCTGTGCAGTTTGTGACATTTGTTTGGCCAGGTGCTGGAAAATATCCCAAAAAGTTCACCTCAGTGCATATTAGTTGGCATTCGTTTTTGTTTTTCCATGGAACAATTTAAATTTCTCGTGGTGTCGCCTGTCCAGTGAACGTCTTTGCAGAGGACCTGGTCTTGTCCTGTTTTCTTTCTGACTGATCTTTTCTCCTCCATTTCTCATCAGTCATCTTTCGGTGACCGGCATTTGATGGTTTTAAAGTGGTTTCCAGTCACAAAATTCATTTAAATATGGCATAACTTCAGCAAGAGGCTATAGTATTATACAGCTGTGTGTGACTTAAACTGTTTTAAGTGGAAATGAAAACATAACTGTAATTAGCTATTTTCTGAAACTGATAAAAAATTTGTACTTTAAAATTATTTGCTTTGTTGGAATTTGAAATAATTGGAGAGTTGTTGTATAAAGATATTAAAAACCCATCTGAGAGGAAGTGAAACAGGGTCTATAAACTGAAACTATTCAATGTGCTGCTCAGAGCTGTGCCCTCTCCTTCTCCATCTGCTGCAGATACACAGCTCCCATTAAATATGTTGAGGACCTTGTCCGCAAGGCTGGTGTAGCTCAGATCCTTGCGACAGACCCATTACCTATCATCAACCTGTTCTGGCCATCATGTTCAGTAAACTGGTGCAGCTGGGAGTTATCTACATCCTGATGCCTGATGTGCACTGCAGAGGAAAATGCGTCACATACAGGGAGTCCACATAGAACGAGTCCAGTAAGAACCGGCAGGAAAGCCTTTTTTTTATTTGGCCGGCCTGATGGTTGAACCCCTGACCGCTGAGTCTGATCCCTGGTCTTCGCCACAACCCTCCTCTGTTTGCTCCAAGTGAGAGTGAGCACTTTCACTTCCCTTTTTGCACAACTACCTTTAACATATTAAAAAGCTCTAAAGTTCCAATTTAGGGAACTTAAGCCTTTGCTGAACTCTTGCTCTCCTTCTGTTTTATTAACCAACCCAGATCTGCTTTGCTCAAATACTACTTGAGTAATATTTATATATATGTAGTTAGAAGTTTCCATGCAGTCATCATAGATGTAAAAAATTTGTCAATTACTTTCAATTATGTTTTTAACCTTTTTTTCCCAAGATGTAGTACATTTTCAAAATAAGTTTAGCTATTTTTCAGAAGAAGAAATTATTCTACATGTCTGAAGATTCATTTTTTTCCACATTTATGAGAAATTTGTTTGAATGGTTCAAACTGGCTTTCAAACGCTGTATCACCTCTGAGGCAGGGTTGTAGCTATATCAGGTGATTGATTCTCTCTGACCTGAAATGTTTTAAAATTAGGAATACAAGTTTAAATATAACCATCCATCACTAATATTGGTTTAGATGTTCTTGAATCCTTTTTATAGTGGAACATCCACTTTTGCCTAAATTTCACCATCTAGTGGAAAATCTTCTGCCTGTATTCATCTTTCTATCCACCATTTGGCATTACACAGTACCACAGGGGCTTATAAACACACTCTCTTCCTCTCTTACTGGCAGAATTGTCATTTGTTAGTCATACTAGAGGATGGTGGCACATGAACTACCTATATAAAGTATTACCTCAGCATTACAAATCAGATTTTGTAAGTCATTCGGAGGTGGATGTTCAAACAGAATAACATTACTACACCCGTGTTTGGTTAAATATTTCAGCTCCCGCAGCAATCTGACCATAGGTAGCTAAATTATCCCTTAAAATGTAGATTTTTTTTTTCATGTCTAAAAGAGTTTTTCTCCCTTCATAAATGAAATTGAAATTATAAATAAACTTTATTCTTTTACGTTAATTCCATTAGAAATTTGCTTGATTATAGTGAAGTAAAAAGCAAAAACACAAGAACTCTAAGGAGGAATTTATTTAGATTTTCTAGATGAGAAAACCGAAGCGCCGCCCCAAACTGAAAAAAATCTCTATGCAGGCTTTGGGAAATAAAAACACAAAAATAAAATAAAAAAACCTGGCAGACTGAATGGAAGTTCTAAGTGATCCTGGTGATGTTTTCCAGACAGGTTTGTATTTCACCCTGTGCCGTCACTTCGTGTGAATACATGTGCATCATTGCTGAAATAATTTTCATTAAGAAGTAGACATGGGACTGCTGGAACACCCTTCTGAGTGCATCAGTCATATTTCTGGAACATGCTGTTATTGAACATTCGACAGAGATTTGTATGCACTTTTCCTGTGTAAGATTCTGCCTCAGAGTGAGGTCAAAGGTCAGAAGCAAGAGAAACACCTCTGATAAGGTTGGGATTAAGTGTCATCTATAGATTAGGTTCCCATATATTTCAGTTTCTGAAACATAAAATTGTAGCAGAGCCAACTTATTACCCAACCAAGCAGTTGGTTTTGTACTTTTTGAAACCGTGCTTTTAAATCTTGGAGCACTTTCAAATAAGTATTCATGTTTAATTTATGTTTTGGACTTCAACACACCATACTGTTTGATCAAGGAGCCCAGGAGGGGTCACGACCCTGACTTTGGCACACAGTGCTCTACAGGTTCTTGATCTTCCGCTCATCTGGTCTATTAGTCTTCAAATCTGCAGTCCAATCTGAATCCGAGAAGGCATCGCAACGCTTTAATGAGGATGAGCAACACTTCCAGAGAAATCCAAAGTGACATTTGTGCAACAGTTTTGCCATTGGGTAAGCTGTGCCATTTCACAATATGACCTGCATTCTATTGTCACTGCTCACCTATTTGCATAGAGAACGACATTATCAGCAGGTTGATGACGAGCAGCCAAAATATTGAGCAATTAATCTAACTAAGCTTTTCAAATATTTAATATCTTTCTGATGCACTGGACCTAAAAACTGTCCTTTAAATTCCTCTAAAACCGATGTCAGGGAACCTTCAGCTTTTGATTCTGGACAAAATAACATATCAGAGAATAAAAGAAGCATAAAATCCAATAGAGACTGAGGATCAGTAGATGTATTGCATTGTTTTGTGATGTTAAGATGTAATAAATTAACAATTGCATTTACAAGGCTTAGCAACAGTATTTGGCCTCAGATTTTTTTCAGGTTATTGGGGCAGTTGGAGGGTTGTCAGTTTAAACCCCAGCTTTTGATCATAGTCATTGGTTCTTGAGCAAGACACTTCACCTGCATTACCTGCTGATGGTGTTTAGAAGGCCTGCTGGTGACTGTGTACAGCAGCCTCACCCCAGAGCACCTGTGGCTATAATGTAGCACATCATTGACCCAACCTGGACGTTGCAAAAACCAAAACCCAAACATCTAAAGCTCTCCAGGCACCACCTTTCCCATTAGTGGAGAAGAAAGGGGATTGGCCTATAATAGACATCTATGGGGGCTTACCTTGAAGAAAGATTCATCTCATATTTGCAAACAGAAAACATGAAAATCACTGAGACTTCTTAAAATATAATCTGTGGACCGATGAAAAAAAAGCTTATTT